GCGATCCCATCTGAGACAATTGCAGTCCTCGTCCCTGAAGGCACGAATGTTGGGGCACAAGTTCCATCTGCAGCGTTCCGCATCTCAGTTCAGAGTGATCTGCAACGACTTCGTGGCCAGGGCAATGGCGGCAGCGAGTTCTGCCGCTGCTCAACGGGGCATCTAAAAATCACAAAATGCAGCGATTGGACAGACGTATGCGAGAAACAGAATAAGACTAACCATCATATCATTTTTGATAGCAATCAGAGTGAGGGGGCCGAACGGCCATTCACTGTTCTTGGGCGGGTGGCTGAAGTGAGGTTATGCGGTGCAGATTGCTGTAGTTGAGATTGTTGTAGTAGTAGTAGTTGTTGTTGTTGTTGTTGCTGTTGTTGTTGTGGTTGTGGTTGTTGTTGTCGTTGCTGTTGTTGGTGTTGTTGTTGCTGCTGCTGCTGTTGTTGTTGTAGTTGTTAATGTTGTTGTTGTTGTTGTTGGTGTTGTTGTTGTTGTTGCTGTTGCTGTTGTTGTTGTCGTTGTTGTTGTTGTTGTCGTCGTCGTCGTCGTCGTCGTTGTCGTTGTTGTTACTGTTGGTGCTGTTGTTATTGTTGGTGTTGTTGTTGTTGCTGTTGTTGTTGTTGGTGTTGGTGGTGTTGTTGGTGTTGTTGTTGTTGTTGCTGCTGTTGCTGCTGTTGTTTTTGTTGTCGTTGAAGAATTCTCTTTTCTGAAGAATAATTATTGTAGATCCCCCCACCGGTGCATACTGTTTTTTCTCAATCAAAGTGTGCCCCTCGACGCTCGCACCCTGTTTTTTGACAGGGAAAATCTTCCTGCTCAAACTGGGCCCCTGGCCCCCGGGTTACAACAACAACGGCTCCCGCTTGAGATTTCCTTACAATTTAGGCAGGACCCCCGCTCCCGCCCGAGATTTCTTCGCATTTTATTCAGGAATCGCGCTCTCGCTTGGGATTTCCTTACAATTTATTCAGGAATCGCTCTCCCGGAGCTCTGGAGTCGCGCTCTCGCTGGAGACTTGCTTGCAACTTACTGAAGAATAGCCTTGCGTTGGAATTTCCCGACACCCAGGCACCCAGGAGTCGCGCCCGTTGTGGCCCCATGTGCATGCCCTTCGTGGCCCCGCTGTCGCCATTTGTGTCCCCCTCATTTTCCTACGTGGCCCAGTTGCTACCCTCAGTGGCCCCATAGTTGCCTTCTGTGGCCCCGCATTATCTGCACTTCGTGGCCCCCGCTCGTTCGCACTCTTCGTGGCCCCATACGCATTCCCTTCGTGTCCCCGCTGTCGCCCTTCGTGGCCTACTTCGTGCCCTTCGTGGCCCTGCAGTCGTTCTCTCTCGCTCTCGCTTTAGCTCGTCGTCGCGGTCCGCGGCCGCCCCGCCGATCAGCGCTGCCGCTGGCCAGGCCGACGATCCGCGGCCGCCCCGCCGCTTGCCGGGGCCCGGCCTGCAGGGAAGAAAGGTATACCCCCCAAAAGGGGTCCGATCGAAGACGAAGAGGGCGGGTACCGAGGGTTTGGGAAATACGCGTTATTGGACACTCGAGCATATAAGGGCGAGCAGTCTTAAAATGTTTGTTGTTGTCGTTGTTGTTGTTGGTAGTGTTCATGCTGATGTGTTTGCTGTTGTTGTGTTGTTGTTGCTGATGCTGATGTTGTTACTGTTGTTGCTATTGTTGGTGTTGTTGAATTCTCGCTTCCGAGGTATAATGAGTGCTGAGCCCCCCTCACGGGTGCATGCTGTTTTTTCTCAGTCAAAGTGTGCCCCTCGACGCTCGCACCCTGTTTTTTGACAGGCGAAGTCTTGGTGGTCAAACTGTGCCCCTGGCCCCCCGGACTACAAGAACGAGGGCTCCCGCTTGAAATTTCCTCCAAATTTACTCAGGGCCCCCCATTCCCGTTTGAGACTTCCTCCCAATTGACTCAGGAACGGCGCTCCCGCGTGAGACATCCTCACAATTTATTGGTCCGGGTCAAACTGCGTTGTTGCTCCCACGGACTACAACAACAACGGCTCCCGCCTGAAACTTCCTCACAATTTATTGAAGAATCGCGCTCTCGCTTTGGACTTCCTGGCAATTTGCCACCAAACCGCGGCTCCCGCCTGAAACTTCCCGACAATGTACGATATAATCGTATTATAGAATCGCGTTCTCGCTTGGGACTTCCCCGCAACTTACTGCCGAACCGCTTCGCTTCCTCCCAATTTATCCAGGTGCTGGTCCTCGACACTCAGGAATCGCGCCCCCGCTACATATTGCCTCGTGGTTGAAGCGGGGCTCACGCTTCACCGACCCGCCCGCTCGACCCACCCGTCGGGGCCTGCCCGCCCGACCAATTCGTTAGTGACTGCAGTCGCCGCTCGCTGACCTTCGCCCGCCTTCGATGCCCCTCGCTGCCCGTACTGGTTCCGCGGTCGCCTTCGCTCTCTGCCCTTCGTGGCCCCGTTGCTGCCCTCAGTGGCCCCGTCGCTGCCCTTTGTGGCCCCGCATTCTATGCCCTTCATGACCCCCGCTCGCACGCGCCCGCCGTGGCCTCATACGCATGCCCTTCGTAGCCCCGCTGTCGCCCTTCGTGGCCCCCTCGCTGCCCTTCGTAGCCCCTTTGCTGTCCTCAGTGGCCCCGCTGTCGCCCTTTGTGGTCCCGTATACGAATGCCCTTCGTGACCCCCGCTCGCTCCTGCCGTGGCCCCATATGCATGCACTTCGTGGCCCCGCTGTCGCCCTTTGTGGCCCCCTCGCTGCCCTTCGTGGCCCCGGTGCTGCCCTCAGCGGCCCCGTCGCTGCCCTCTGTGACCTCGGATGTGATGCCCTTCGTGGCCCACGCTGGCTTTTCTCACGATTTACTTGGGAATCGCGTTATCGATCGAGACTTCCTCGCGATTCATGCAGGACACACGCTTCAGCAACCCGCCTGCTCGACCTCGTCGCTTGGGCCCGCCTTCCCGACCTGCCCGTTATGGGTCTGCCCACCCGATCTGCTCGTTTGGTTATACTACTTGTTTTCTGCTCCGTGCCCCCCTCCTGCTAATTTGTCTCGTGCTCCATTCTTCTCACTATCCCATTCACCCGTCCTCCCTTCCCTCGTTTAAGGGGCTGCATTGAATACACGTGGCAGGTTAGGAAGATATACCCCCAAGGGGGTACGATCAAAGACGACGAGGGCGGGTACCGAGGGTTTGGATATACGTATTGATTGGCACGTGAGCAGATAGGAGCGAACAGTCTTAAACTGATTGTTGTTTTTGTTGTTGATGCTGCTTGTCGTCGTCCTCCCCGCGACCCGGCCCGCGACCCACCCGCGACGCACCCGCGACCCACCCGCGACCCATCCCGCGACCCACCCACATTGCTTTAATGAAAAGAATCGGCGCCTGCGGTGGGCTCACTGCATACTTTGTACAAGTTAGTCGCCTGCGTCGGGCTTCTTCAGATCCTCGCAGACTGCCGACGTCCTCGCCGCCCCCACACCCATGTCCGCAACTGCGGGGCGCTACGCAAGAACCTCAAGAACGCGAGTACACATTACCTTCAAAAACAAGAGGGCCGATACCACGAAGAAGCAATGCCAGTGGGCCGTGGCGCTGCCAAGCAGGATGTGGGCTTCGAGATCGGAGCCCGAAATCGTCACGCCGGCAGTGCCGAGCGCTGCGTCCGCGAAACGCCGCGCGTGGAGACTGCCCCGCCCGCCTCCCGAGCCTCGCCCGGGGCCCCGGGGCGCAGGGGGGACCTCTGTAGGCCTCCCCCGAACGCGCACCCCTTCTCCAGGCGCCCTGCACCCCTCCCCCCCTCCCCGCCCCTCCCCCCCCCTTCGTGCCACGCCGAGGGGGCGTTCGGCCGCTCCAGCGTCGCCGTCGCCGGAGGATCGGGAGTGCTGGGGGAGCAGGATGAGGGGAGCTGGCCGGCGCGGGGGGAGGCGGAGGACGGAGGAGCGGGAGGAGGACTGAGGAGGGCTCTCGACGACGGCAACAGACCAGTCAGTCCTTCTCCTTCTCCTCCTCTTCCGCCTCTGCTCTTCCAGTTCCTCCTACTTCCTCCTCCTCCTCCTCCTGCCTCCTCCTCCTCCTCCTCCTCCTCCTCTTCCTCCGCCTCCTCCTCCTACCTCCTCCTGCCTCCCGGGCCCCTCGTCTTCGCCCTGGTGGGGGCCGCTGCCGGCCGCAGGCCGCCGCGGCACGGCGGCTAGCTGTCGGCGGGGCCCTCTCTTGGATTCGAGGCGGGTCCAGGATCAGCCGTTGCCGAGGCGCCGAAACGGGGAGCAGCATCCAGGCCTCCTGGATGGGGTCGGAGTAGACGGGGTCGGAGGATCGCGCCGCATCGCCGATGCATCGCCGATGCGGCTCGATGCGGAGCCCGTGTTTCCCCACGCCGACGTCGCCGATGCATCGCCGACGTCGCCAATGCTTCGCCGATGCATCCTCGATGCATCGGCGATGCATGAGCGATGCGGCGCGATCCTTCGACCCCATCTACTCGGACCCCATCTAAGAGGCCTCTACAGCAGCAGCAGCGCGGGCGCTACCAACGTGACTTCGGTGAGCAGTACGGCTGCGAGCAGCAGAGTCTTACCAGCACGACGGGGACAGGCAGCGCGCGGGTGGGCAGTCGGGATGCAATACGACAGCTGGAGGGTTGGGGGCTCTGTGCCACATGGGGGTTAGGGGGCTCTGAGCCACGGTGTGGAGGGGGGGGGGGGGGGCGCGTTCGAAGGATCAGCCTTGGCCACGAGGGCGCCCCGCCAAGGCACCGAAGCGCTGAATGCCTCGGCTCTCTCGATCCTCGGCGGCGGCTGCGGCGACGCTGCCGCCGCTCCCCACGCCACCGCCCAGGCCACCAGAGGCCGCCGCACCGGGCCGCCGAAGGCGAGAGAAGGTTGCCGAGAGCCGCCGAGGGCCAGCAAGAGGCCGCAACACGATGCCGAGGGCCTGCGAGAGGCGACCGAGATCCAGCGAGAGGCCGCCACGGCGCCGGCTGCGGAGGCGCCGCGGCGGCGGCAGCGGCCGGGGGCGCAGGAGCAGGAGATCTTCAAGAGCCCGGCCGAGCAGGCCATGATGTCCCAGGACGGCCTCGGGCGCAGCCCTGGTGCCAAGCGCCAACCTCCAGGGCTGATGATGATGATGCTGATGATGATAGTGGTGGTGGTGATGCTGGTGGTGCTGATGCTGATGATGCCGATGATACTGATGTTGATGAGGATGGTGATGATGCTGCTGATGATGATTACCCTGATGATGGTGATGATGATGATGATGATGATGATGATGATGATGATGATGAGGATGACGATGAGGATAATGGTGGTGATGATGGCTGTGTTCAAGGCGATGATTATGGTGATGATGGTGATGGTAATGGCGATTATGCTGATGACAATGATGATGTTGCTGATGATGATGACCATGATGACCATGGCGATCATGATGATGATTATGACACTGATGGTGATGGTGATGCTGATGCTGATGATGATGCTGCGGATGATGGTGAAGAGGGTGAGCCTGATGATGAAGACGATTATGATAATGATGATGATGATGACAATTATGATGAGGTCGATGGTGATGATTCTGATTGTGATGATGATAATGATGATGCTGATGATGATGCCGGTGATGACGATGATCATTATGATGATGATGACGATGATGATGACGATGATGATGATGATGATGATGATGATGATGATGATGGTGCTTCTGCAGATGATGATGTTGATTATGATGATGAGGATGAGGATGAGGATGAGGATGAGGATGAGGATGAGGATGAGGATGATGATGGTGATGATGATGATGATGGTGATGTTGATGATGCTGATGATGATGATGATGATGATGATGATGATGATGATGATGATGATGTTTGTGAGGAGGATGAGGATGATGATGGTGATTGTGATGATGCTCCCGCTCTCAAAGGAAGGTCGGAGCCGAAGCGGTCGCGCCCACCGCAAGTGTCTCACTCACTCACGGGGTCTTTTGGCCCCCTCACCACGTTTCCGAGCAGTCACACCTCAAACTGCATCCGTCTTCTTACCGATGAGGTGCTTGATGTACGCGTCGCCAGCGCTCGATGACCGCGCCATCAGCGCTCGATGAGCCGCGTCACCCTCTCACCTCTGCATGCCGATGGCCCACAGCGCCTCGACGCAGTCATATTGCGGCGTGGCCGCCGCCGCCACCGCTTCATGTCGACGACCCCGAGGAAGAACTCGCCCTCGCCCTCGCCAGGACCGACTCCTCGCCGTCGCAGTTCTTCCCTTCGTCGTTCTTGGAGGGCCCCCCATGGCGCTCCTCAGCTCGCCGAAGTTCTCCTCCTCGTCGTTCAGCTCGAACAACAACAACAACAACAACAACAACAACAACAACCACAACAACAACAACAACAACAACAACAATTACTAGCACGTGGGGACACTCCGTTCTCACCAGTGCCAGGGTTTTCATAGGAGGCGGGCAATACCCCCACTTTGTGGGGGGGCCGGTTCAAGCTCTACCAAATTTCCAAACGACTCTTCGCCACCACCCACACCCAGCTTCCCGCCCTATGACGTTCGGACACTTCACTTCGTGGCATGCGGACGACCGTGGCTACTATTCAGGGCCCCGCGGCCGACGACGACGGCGTGCGCGCGCGAAGAAAAAACGAATGTGTCCCGCATGGTATTATTTGACAGGGATGATGGCCCTGGCAGGTGCGCAACCGTTGTTGCAGAAGTTCGAAAAAGTTGCTCGCAAAAGCCCGTTTGACAGAAATGTTTAAAAAGTGTTGGGTTTCCTACGAATCCGCAAGAGCGCGCGGGATGAAATTTTTACAATTTTTTTTTTAAAAAAAAACATTGGCTTTTTGATGTTTTTATGTTAAAACCGCTACGAAAACTAAGGTTTTGGAAGGATTTCGTCTTGCGCGCGCGAATGTCCACTTTACCTCTTTTTTTTGCAAGGGATTCTTGAAGTTTGGTTATGTTAGAACAAGACATGTCATTTTATATTGTTTTTTGACAGGGAAAGCGGGCGTCAACAAAACAACCGGATCCGGACTCCCCCGTTTTGCCTGAGACTTCCTCACGAAAATGATGAAAATGTGGCTGCGGCCTAGGCGCGGCGAGGGGGGCGTGCACCAGGGGGCCCAACAATAATTATTCTTTAGAAGTAATAATATTCAACAACAGCAGCAGCAACAACAACAACAACAACCTTGGTGAGGATGATGCCCGCCGCGATACCCGGATCGAAGGTGACCTCAGCCTGGTCGTTGCAGTCAAGTAGCACAAAAGAACAGCAGCAGGGGAGAGGGGAGGAGGAGGAGGGGAGGAGGAAGAAGAGGAGGCAGCCATGGCCTGCGGTACACGTGCTTGCGGCCGGGGGCCTCCATCACCACTCGAGCCACTGCGGCGACTGGGCCAGCCGGGGCACTTTTGCTTCCAGAGCGTCGACAGGCGGCTGGTGTCGCCGCGGTGCCCGCAAAGGTAGCACTCCCAGTACTCGTCGACGATGTTCAGGCCAAAGATGTGGAAACCACACGCGGCCGCGTACCGGTCCCGGTGCACGGCACCGGGTCAACATATGAGCCATTGCCAGCCTGCAGCAGCGTCATCAGCAGACCGAGCATGAACCCGCGCGCCCGGGCCGCCGGTGCGGGGCGGCGGGCGGCCGCTGAGGCAGCAGGGATTCAGGTACGACACGTGGCCGGCGTCGGAGAGCACGAGACCGCGGCCGCGGCCGTCGCGGCGCGCGCGGGCCTTTGTTCGCGACGGAGTGTTGCTCAGCGCCTTCGCGCCTGCTCTCAACGTGAAGCCTCGCAAGTGTGACCGCGTCAGAGGGCGGGTGTGTGCCGAGATCGGGGATCACAGACAGCGCATCGCCCGCAGGCGTGTGGTCAAGGACGTCCACAGCTGGCGCTCCTCCGAAGACAGCCGCGAAGGGCTGATCCATCTGCGAGCGCGCTCGGCGCACTGCATGAAAGAATGCGAAAGAATTGCTCCAGCTGGTGCACCAAGGCAGGACAGCGCATGCGAGGGCGCATGGCGAGAGAATGCGACGTGTCCTTCTGCGTGCAGCCGTGCATTCGCCATGCGGTCGAAAAAGCACCGGGGCGGCGCCAAGGAACCAACTGCATGCTTCTGTAGGATGCACAGCGCGGCCTGGAAGAGCATGCCCTTCTGCTTGAGGGTCTGCTGGACCACGTTGACGGACGGGGCCAAGTCGGGCTTGTGCCACTTGCGGTCTACCAGGACCGGGAGCCGCGCGTGGGTTTCAAGCTCGAAAAGCACCGCCAGCTCGACGCGGCTGACCTGCCCGAAGCCAGGGTCGGGAGGCGAGTTGCACGGGGCCGGCCAGGCCAAGGTGCCCCACCATTTCAGCAGACGATCATGAAAATACCCGGCCGTGGGGGAGCTGCGCGTGCGTCAACCCAGCTGGCAGGGTTAGCGTTCACTTTGGACCAGGAGAAAGTCCCGCCCCACACCATGGGATGCTGAGGTGGGAGGTCGTCCGTGGCATCGGGAGCAGGAGGCGGGGCCTCCGCTGCTTCCGCGGCCTCCGCTGCCTCACTCTGCTGGACCAGCATGCGTTCCTGCGCGCCGAGGAGGAAAGTCTGCACCCGGCGCACTGCGGTAGCGCGGTGCTCCGCAGCAGCGCGGGCCTCATCCCGGCGAGGTTCATGATGCCGACGGCCACGATGAGCAGACTGGTCGGCAAGAGCGTTCCCCGCGCGGCAGTACTCCTCGAAAGAGCTCTGCACCTCGGACGGGTCAACGTGGCCCTTCACCTTCTGCACGACCACGGCGCGGCTGGGGTGCGTCTGGAGGGCTGCGTCGAACCGCTTCCACAAGTCACCATTCGGGCGGGTGGCACACGGCCAAGGAAAGACCACGGCCACCTGCAGCGATCCGGAGGATGGCCTCCGAGACGACGCTCTTGTTGTCAATGAAGACACGGAGGGGCTGCGCGACATTCTCAACCAAGAGGACCAGGGGGAGAAGCTCCGCCCTCGTGATGGTCTACACCAGGCCTGGCAGCGGGGTGGCGCACCGTCCCCATTGGATTGCGCCAGACGGGGTCGCTTGTCGCCGCGCGATACCAGACCCAGCGACCTTCCAGCGGGGGTCATCTGATGGGTCAGCCGAGCCGTCCGGGAAGAAGTCGTGGAAGTCATCCGTCTCGCCTCCGATTGGCAGCGTGGCCCACAGGGGCAGCGGCTGGACAGGCGCCCCTTCCAGATGTGTCCAAAAAGCCCGCTCGCCAGGGAGGAGCTGGGACAAGCCGAAAGTGGCAAGCTGCAGGTCCGGCACAGCAGGCGCCAGCAGCTCTGGCACGGAGGACCGGAGGTCGTCGTGCAGGGAGCATATGATGTGCCCGTGCTCGTAAGAGTTCTCTTCCGCACCACGCGAACGTGTTGATGTTGGTAACGGTAATGAGGATGCTGATGGCGATGCCGGGGATGGTGATGGTGACGGTGATTGTTATGATGATGTTGCTGGTGATAGTGATGTGGATGATGGTGGTGGTATCGGTGATGATGACGGTGGTGGTGATGATGATGCTGGTGATGCTGGTGATGGTAATGCGGATGAGGATTGTGTTGATCATGACGGTGACGATGCAGTTGCGGTTGACGACTATGATGTTGTTGTTGATGATGATGGTAGGGATGTTGTTGATGGTGTTGCCGATGACGATGTTGAGCATGGCGATGCTGATGGGTGTGTTGTTGATGGTGATGGTGATGATGGTGTTGCTGGCGGTGATAGTGATTAATGATGATGGTGATGGTGATGGTGATGATGGTGATAGTCATGGTGATGGCGGTGATGATGGTGGTGAGGATGAGGCTGCTGATGCTGATGATGTTGACGGCAACGATGCTGACGATGTTGATCATGATGGTTGTGATGGCTGACGATGATGCTGATTATTGTGATGATGATGCTGATGCTGCTGATGATGAGGAGGAGGAGGATGGTAATGCTGATTATGATGATGGTAGGTGACGATTATGATAAGCATGATGATAATGATGACGATACGGAGAATGCTGATGATGATGACGATTATGATGGCGATGGTGATGGCGATGGCCATGATGATGAGGAGGAGGAGGAGCCGGAGGAGGATGAGCACGTTGATCGGACAGTCAGGAGCAGGATGAGGATCGGGGGTGATGCGGCAACAGATGAGCTTGAGCAGGGGACGAGGAGTAGAGGCAGGGCGATCTTCCTCTCAGATGCCCGCGAGGATGCGAGCCAGTTGGAGTTCTCGCAGCTGGATGCGCTCACCATGGGGGACGAGGAGCCCGCGGGGATACCTATCTTGCCCATCGTGTACTGGGTGTGGCAGGTCGTCGACTCCTCCTCCTCCCCCTCCCCCTCCCCCTCCTCCTCCTCCTCGTCCTCCTCCTCCTCGTCCTCCTCCTCCTCCTCCTCCTCCTCCTCCTCCTCCCTCCTCCAGACCCATCCAGACTTTCTTGACGTTGCTCGGGCCTGAAGCACGGGCTTGTGGCGCTAATGCCAGAGAAAAGCGATCGCCGACTTAGGTGAAGGAGCCACGCATCAGGCTGTAGTGGCGAGCGCTGCGGGAACACAGACGCGCGAAGAGATGGGCGGCAGGCAGAGGCCCTCCGGGGGCAGAGTAAGCGCTCGCCACCAGCACTCTGGGAGATGCCGACGAGGAGACAGGGAAAGACAAGTCATGACAATGATGATAACACATTCCCTACTGAAGAGGATTCCGAATGAGGAGAGGCCGAAGCACGCTGGCACTGCCAGTGGAAAGAATCAAGTAGAGACGACTAACGGAGAGTAACGTAAAGATCTAAGTGCGAGATGCTGCTGCGTAAAAAAAGCGTGGCAAGCCATGAGTCCCAGGAGGCATGAAGCTGCTACCTTTTCACCTCGTCCATCCCGCGCCATGAACTGCCGCTGCCCCCCAACTCCCATGCCCATAACGGGGTCAAGTTGTGTCAGAGGCGAGGCTCAAAGTTGCAAACTGAACGTGCAAGTCGTGGCAGTTCTTGGGTTGCGTATCCACTGTGCCCGACAGGTTGCCAAGATGGTCCCTTGCCTTTGCCGAGTTGTTGTCTCTCTTGGTGTTTCCCCCTGCCTTTGCCTTTGGCCCGAGGCGCTCGTGTGTGGCCGTCTATTGTGTCGGCTGGTTGTCGTGGTTGTTGTTGTGCGTTGTGATGTTGGTTGAGCAGATGCTATGCTGCTTGGAGCTGCTGGTAGGTTGGTTGGTCGAGTAGGGTTCGCGCTGAGGCTACCCGTATTAGTGTGCGTGCCGCAGCTCGTTGTTCTTCCCTTCACGCGGCGCCAGGCAGGGTTGAGAGAAGTCGACGGAGTCGTGGTGCTACCGCTTGCAAATTGTTGCAGTCGCTAGGCCAACCTGGTCACGTAAGTGGTGCTAGTTGCGTGGGTGTACGAGGTAGATATCGTATCCGAGGTGGCGCGTGCTGCCGTACGTGGTAGTACAGGGTGGTGCAACGTAACGCAAGAATGAGAGTAAGAAATCCATGTCTCATAGGTTGATGTAATGGGATGTGGAACATTCGCTTTTGACGATCGTGGCTGGCCCCCTTAGGGCTGGTGCACTGCCACGGGTGTCTGGGCCCAAGGCTACCCATCCGGGTTCCTCCTCCTCCCTTTCCTCGCGTTCGTCCTCGGTCATTCTCCTCTGCCGCCTCCTCCTCTTTCAAATTATCCTCGTCCAAGAGTTCCTCCTCATCATAATCACCACCAGTACGTTCCTATCTCATTTTCACCCTCCTCTCCCCCGTCATCACTGTCCTCCCCTTCCTCCTCCTCGCTCATCCCTCCGGCCGTCCTCCAGACCGTCTTCTCCCCCTCCTCGTCGCCCTTACTGTACCTCTTCGTCCCTTTTCTCCTCTTCCCCATGACCCCTTCTCCTCCTGCTCCTCATCTCTTTTTGGGGGGGGCAGTCTGGCGCATGGCGCGTTCGCGCAGGCGTCGGCTCGGCCTGCTTACATCTCCTGATCCGTCACGCGTGCCTATGCACCCGATAGAGATTCGCGATGAACTGCCGGATAGCTTGGTAAGTTATTTCACTTCGGCGACTTTGGAACCCCTCGGTCCCAGAACGTTGACATCTCCTGTGGAGTTGGCAATATGTGCTTCCGCCAGCTACCTCTGGCGAGGCCACCCCAATCCGCCCCGCCCCTGGTTCACCTCCGACGCCCTCTTTCGGCCTTCCACCTACGAAGAGAAGCCAATGCCTCGACCTATCGAAGGCCATGTTCTTTCTGGAGCACCCTCGCCACGGTGCAAGGCGGCCAACACGGCCACAGAGGGTCCTTGCCCGCTCCTGCCCGGCTCTCGCCTCATCTGCCATGGCTGACCACCGCTGCCGCTCTGGGATGCCCGCTGCACCCCAAAGCCAAGACCGGTCGTTTCTGCGCTTTGGGTTGTCGTCGCTTCCCCCTCGGCCTCCTCTTCCTCCTCTTCTCTCTCGTTCCCTCGCCGTCCTCAACCCCTTCAGCAGGAGCGGCGCGAAATTCCAGCAGAGGCTGTTTGTTTCACCATGCAGAGGGGGGCCCAGCGGCGAGAACGGGTGACAAACAGAACGCGGAGGAGCTTGGGGAGAAGGAGGAGGAGGAGGAGGAAGTAGTAGAAGATCAAGAAGAAGGCAAGCAGTGCGCCTGGCGAGCACGCGTGACAGCCGTCGGGCCACTGATGAATGGATGGGTCGGGCGGGCCCGGGCGCTCCAGCGGGCGCCGCCGCACAGCCGCCCGCCACGCCGCCTCGCGCCCCCCCGGCGCGCGGAGCGCCCAAGAACAGCAGGCCGTCCGCCCGCGGGGGCAGCTGCGGCGCCCAGGCGCTGCACGAGCGGCACGCGGGGCGCTCCCGGCGCGGGCCCGCGCGGGGCCCTCGCAAGGGAGGCGACGCGGCTCCTGCGGGCGCTGCCTGCTGGCGCCGCGCGCGCCGGCCCTGGCTCCGCCTGCGGGGCCGCCGCTGCCGCCGCCGCTGCCGCAGCGTCGTCCGCCACGGCTGGGCGCGCGGCGGCGGCGGTGCCCCGCCTGCGCCCAGCGCCGCCGCGCGCGGGGGCCGCCCGGGCAGTGCCCGTGGTGTGCCTGGGCCTCGAGGTCCACCATGGCGGGCACGCGTTGCACGGCCTTGAGGGCGCCTCCAGCTGCCGCCCACGCTCCTGGCACAGCGCCAGCGGGGGCAGCCGCGCCTGGACCGCGGCCCCCCGCGAGGTGGTCAGCCGCAGCGTCGCCGAAGCGGTCCTTGGGCGACACGCCGCGATCCTGGGCCTCCGCGGCGTCGAGGTGCCACTTGGCCCATCGCGCGGCCAGCGCGCCGCTGCGGCAGTGAGGAAGGATCAGCTCCCACAGGTCTGCGTGGGCCCAGTCCTAGGGGGACGCCCCGGCCCTGATTGCCGCGACGCCACTGCTGACGAATCGGGAATCGGTCACTACCTCGACGGCCCCGCTTGCCAAGCTGACAGCATGCACCGCTGCTGTGAGCTCGGCCGCTCGGCTGCTGCACCAGCAGATTCACATCCCGAAACCTGTGTTGCCTGAGGCGCACAACAAAACAGACCACACCAAAAGTCACTCCATACGACAGGTCGTGTGCAACGTTCTCTCCGCAGCACGGCTGCCCTCTCACTCGGCCACGATTCGCTACACGAGTTTGCCAACTTGCAGATCGGCTCATGTTGCGTCCCCTGGTTGCCTGGCAAGCCTTTGAGTCGCACCGTGGTGGCAGCCGCGATGTGTGGAGGTCATGTGTCCACGCCCTCCCCCCTAAAAAAAACCAACCGACGACACCGATCTTGTCGGCCTGCTCGGCGGGCGCCCTCCTCGTCGGCGCCGCCAGCCCGGCAGCGTGCCGGGGCCGCGGCCCAGCGCGGGCCCTTCGATGCCCCCCCCCGCCCGACCTCCGCGGGCCGCGGCCGCGGCCTTCTTCTGCCGCCCCGTCGAGGCTCGCGCACTCACCGGGGCCAGCGCTGACGGGGGCCATGATGGGCCCATTGTCCACCACCGCTACCATAGGTGGGCGAGGGAGGAGGAGGAGGAGGAGGAGGAGGAGGAGGAGGAGGAGGAGGAGGAGGAGGAGGAGGAGGAGGAGGAGGAGGAGGAGGAGGAGGAGGAGGAGGATGAGGAGGGAGGAGGAGAGGAGGATGAGGAGGGAGGAGGAGGAGGAGGAGGAGGAGGAGGAGGAGGAGGAGGAGGAGGAGGAGGAGGAGGAGGAGGAGGAGGTGGGGGGGAGGATGAGGAGGAGGGGAGGAGGAGGAGGAGGAGGAGGAGGAGGAGGAGGAGGAGGAGGAGGAGGAGGAGGAGGAGGAGGAGGAGGACCTCCTCGTCCTCCCTGCTCCCACATCCTACATGTGGCAGCGGTGGCGGAACATCTGCCCGTCAGGTCAGCCACTCCCGTCTGGCTGGCCCGGGTCTGGGAGCCACGCGCGGGGCCGATTGCCCCGGCCCGCCCTCGGCTGGCCCATGGGTCTGCGAGCCGCTGGGCGGCCCGCCCGGCTTGGCGGGCAGGGCCCGGCCCGACCCGGGCTCTGTGCCGACAAGAGCCGGCGCGGCACCCGCCCACCCCCGGGGCCCACGCTGGACGCGGGGCTGGAGGGGGAGGATGAGGATGAGGACGGGGATGGGGATGAGGATGAGGATGCGGATGAGCATGGGGACGAGGATGATGGGAACGAGGATGAGGATGAGGATGACGATGATGGCGCTGCTGATGATGATGATGCTGATGCTACTTGTTGATGATCATGATGATGGTGATGGTGATGATGGTGATGATGATACTTTCTGATGATGATGATGATGCTGATGATGATGATGCTGATGATGATGATGATGATGATGATGATGATGGTGGTGGTGGTGGTGGTGGTGGTGGTGATGGTGGTGGTGATGATGATGATGATGCTGGTGATGATGATGATGATGATGATGATGATGATGATGGTGGTGGTGGTGATGATGATGATGACGATGATGATGATGATGATGGTGATGATGATGATGATGGTGATGATGATGATGATATGCTTATGATGATGATGAGGAGGAGGAGGAGGAGGAGGAGGACGAGGAGCAGGAGCCGGTGTCCTCCCGAGGCGCAGGCGGAGGTGCAGCCGTGAGGAGCATCGAGGGGGCGCGGTGTCGGTGGGGAGCTAGGCGGCTCGAGCAGCGAGGCGGCGTCGGCGAGGATCTCGAGGAGGCGCGGGCGCAAGGAGCAGAGGATCTCTCTCGCGGGGGCGCGCCGTCCGCACAAGGCCGAGGGCCAGGGTCTTTCGGCGTGGGGCGTTTAAAGAAGGGCCTTACCTTTAAGTTTGGCGTGGCTCTCTACAGGAGGAATATTCAAAAATAGTCAAGACTAGTCTGGGGACGATTTTTCTAGTATTTTTGACTGTGTTGGATGATTTTTATATATCTCAAATGTTTCATCCAACATCCGCCTGTAGGGGGACATGCCCGACCTAATGCTATTCGCGTGGGGCGTTTCAAAAAAGGGCCTTGCCTCCGAGGATCGAAAGAGTTGTCATCTCTCCCGCGGCGGAAGGGCGATGGAAGTAAAGCGAGGCAGCCTCCGCCAGCGGAAGGTCGGCGGAAGGCGGCGGAAGTAAAAGATGGGCCCCAAAGAGATGACAACGTGTTTGGGTCCAGGGTTTCCGAAATCGCCCACTTGAAAAAAACCGAACGCCCGAGAACATTCTCCAGTTTCGGGCTCTGCAGTGTGCAGGGACACGTGAGACCTACCCCACGCAGCAAATAAGATTTCTGGAGCACAAGCGGGGGCTCATAATCTCGGTTCCCTGCGGGGGTGTCCGATCTCCAGCGTCGCTTGGATCCGCGGGGATGGAGTTCGCGGGTGGTCGCAAACGGTGGCCGCCTCCAGGCTCCAGAGTCGTCCAAAACGGCCCAGGGTGAACAACCTGTCTGCGGGACAGGGACGACAGAGACGACAGGGACGACGAGGGGGAGGCGGAGGAGCAGCAGGAGGCGGAGGATGAGGTGGACGAGGAGGAGCAGAAGCAGGAAAATGAAACAATAAAAAGGAGGAGTAGGAGGCGAAGGAGGAGGAGGAGGAGCTTATCTTCCTTCTTCCTCCTGAGACTCGTCTTCTTCCTTGTCTTGCTCGTCCCCTTCGTCGCAATCGACATTGATGTCGTCTTATGTGGCCTTGTCCTCCTCCTCCTCCTTCTCCTGCTCGGTGTCCTCCTGGTCCTCGTCGCCGTCGTCCTCGTCCTCGTTCTCTTCGTCCTCGTCCTTCTCCTCGTCCTCCTCTCAGCTCCGTTAGCCGGGTCGACGCAGTTCCGCCGCGCAGGTCATCATGTCGTTCGTACTGATGGTGACCATGATCATTAGCATGACCCAGTACAACGGTGCTTGGACGGAGCTGATGCGAAGCAGAGGCGAGCTGGGACACGAGTGAGAGGAGGGCGAGTCGGAGGAGGGCAACTTTACATATCCATCTCGTTCTCCCTCCTCCCCTTCTCCCAGAAAAAGGAGAAGAACAATCAGAAGAGGAAGGGTGAGGGAGGAGGACAACTGTGGGTTTGTCCGCTTTTCCATTCCTAATGATGAAGACTAGAATGAGGAGAAGTATAGTCAGCAGAACCAGCAGTCGCAGCAGATCGCGCATGATGGTAACGAGGCTGAGACGCCGATGTATGACTATGGATAAAATTATGGCTGGGCAATCGCAAGAATACGTGAGGATGAGGAGGATTATGAGGAGGAGGATGATAAGGATGTGAGCAGGGGGAGGAGGGGGAGGAGGAGGAGGAGGAAATGGAGGAGAGGGAGGAGGAGGAGGTGGATACGGAGGACAAGGATGTTCGCGCCCAGATTGTGGGGATCACTCTGGCGAATCGCCCGCTCTGGCCAAGCAGACGTGTCTCTTACGACAGGCCTGTGGCCACCGCGATGTAGATGGCATGGCAGTTGGGCCTCCCAAGGGCGGGCAGCCAGGGGGTATGACACGGCGGGCCCGTTCGTGTCCAGATTGTGGGGGGCTCTCCGGTGAAACGCCCGCTGTGGCCCAGTGGACGCGTCTCTAGGAGGAGGAGGAGGAGGAGGAGGAGGAGGAGGAGGGGAGGAGGAGGAGGAGGGTCTCAAAGTGCCGTGATCATGACGTTGCAGCAGGCATGACACTTGGAGCTCCCAGGGGAGAGCCGCCCAGGGTACGGCACGCGCCCATTCGCGCCAAGATTGTCGTTGCCTCCCATGCTGCCATGACCTCTTTTCCTCGCTCGCTCTACCCTGTCGATCCTTTCCTCCCTTCCCCTCCACTCAGTCTCCTCCCACCTCCGCCTCCCCCTTCTCCTCCTCCTCCCCCTCCTCCTCCTCCTCCTCCTCCTCCTCCTCGCCCTCCTCCTCCTCCTCCTCCTCCACTTGATGCGTCTCGTCTCCCCTTGGCCCTCGCCCCAGCCCCTCACGCCCTCCCCCTTTTGCTCTCCACTCCCTTGCTCCCTCCCGCTCTCCCCCCCCCTCTCCCTCTTGTCCTCCTGCACGCGCCGCGCGGGCGGGGCCGCGATTTCGTGGGCGCGCGCGCTCGCGTCGGAGGGTCGTGGGCGCACTACAACCTCTTCATCTTCGCGTACATGAACAGCGGCATGCTGCCCACCGGGGTGCAGGCGACCAGTCTGCTGTCGTTGCTCTCGGCCTCCCATCCAGCGCTTTCTTCCCCGCCTCCTGCCTTATCATCATCATCACCATCATCGTCACCATCATCATCGCCATCGCCATCGCCATCGCCGTCGTTGCAGTCGGCATCCTCATTATCATCATTGCCCCCCTCTTCCTACTTCTGCGATTCTCATCTTTCTCAGCGTGCTTCTCGTTTTCCTCTTCATGCTCCACCATCTTCGTCACCACCACCATCAGCGTCACGATCGTAAGCATCACAATCAGCATTATCATCAGCATCGGCATCATCATCGTCATCATCATCAGCATCATCATCATCATCATCATCATCATCATCATCATCACCATCATCACCATCATCACCATCATCACCATCATCGTCAAACTCATCATCATACCCATAATCGCAACCTTTACATTTATTTGTGCGTCTTCACAACATCTTGCGCAGGTGTAACGTGAGGTGGCCGCAATGGGGATGTCTCCATCGCCATCGGGTCTCAAAGTGCTGACGGATGCAGACTCTCGTCCACTACCTCTTCGGAGAGTCGCTGCGATCCGCGGGCACCGCGGCGGTCGTGTGGGCGGCTCGGACCGAGTGCCCCGCCTGCGTGTGCAAGCTTGCGCTGAGCTGCGGCGCCGGCGCGCCGATCGTGGCTGCGGAGCCGCCGACCTGGCTGGAGACCGTGCTCGGTCACGCCGCCCTGGTGCTGGTCGTCTTGGCGGGTGCGGCCTGCGGCGCGGTAGGCCACTGGTTGGCTAGCCGCCGAGGCTGCGCGCGTCCCGCAGAAGCCGCCCACGTGGAGCCTCTGAGCCTGGAGGACGAGGCTCGCGAGCAGGCGGCTGTAGCGAAGGCCAGGTGGAGCGCCTCCAGCCACTGAGGATGGCTCATCCCCTGAGCGCGCTTGGCGTCGTGCCTGGCGACTTCGTCATGATCCGCTACGCGGTCGGCGGCAGGCGCGTGTGGCACGAGAGGCTCGTGCTGGCTCTGGCCTCCACAGCGCCGTGGGGCGTCGGGATCCTCACTCCCGATGGCGACGCTTACTCGGAGGTGCTGATCGGCGGCGCCGACGTCGCGGCGGTCGTGCTGTGCGCCAGCGGGACGAGACGGGGCGGCTGGAGGCGCTGCTGCAGGGATCGGAGGCGACGGGGAGTATCGCTTCCGCGCGGTGCCCCTCGCGGCGGCCATCGCCGTGGCCCAGCAGGCGGTGGAGGCGGAGCTCGGGCTGCCAGCCGGCGCGGCGGTGGTGCCAAACATCGGTGGGCGCGCGATCCTGGCGGGCGTGGCCGCGGTTGCTGTGGGGGCCGCCCCGGCGGCAGGCGGCGGCGCGGCGGGTGGGGGTGGCGGCTTGGCGGCGGCTCTTGGAGGGCCTGGAGATGGCGGAGGCGCGCTGCTGGCACCAGCAGCCGGTGGCGGCGTGGCGGCTGGGGTCGGCGGCCTGGCTACGGCTCTCGGCGGTGGCGGAGTCGGCGGAGTCGGCGGTGGCGGCGCTGCGGTCCCTGGTGCCATCGGCGGGGCCGCAGGCGGCGGCGCGCTCGTGGCCGCACCCGCGGCGGCGGCGGTTCTTGGGGCTGTGCCTCTTCTCGGCGGTGGAGCGCCGGGCGCGCCTGGGGCTTTGGCGGCGGCGGCCACGGGTGCGCCCCGTTTGGCGCCTGCAGCGGCTGCTGGGCCAGCGCCCGGCGTGGCCGCGGTCGGCGCGGCGGCGGCTGCTCCGGGAGGCGACCTGAGGATCATGGCCGTGACCCACGACATCCGTGGGGAGCGGCATCGTGACTTCGGCGACGCCGTGCGTTTGCTCGCGGAGGCCCCGTTCAGCGACTGGCCGATCGGTGGCCCGAGGACGCCGCTCTGGGTGGCGCTCTTCATCCATCGCGTTGCCGGGGCTCCCATGGCTTGGCATCTGAAGTGGCGCACCGACGGGCAGCTTCACGATGACGATCCAGGTGTCGCGAACCATGAGTTCATGTGCGGGTTGTTGGAGGTCGGCCTGTGCTACGATCAGCTGCACAGCTCTAACCTGGCTTCGGTGGAAATCGTGGCGAGGGCCATTCAGACCGAGAGCGTGGCGAGGTATCTGCACCGTTTCGAGAACGAGACGGGCTTCGGTGTGAGCGAGAATCTGATGACGGGCCTCACGCACGGTCGCGGCCACTTGTGCGTGGCCCCGCTCCTTCGGGACTTCGTTTCGCAGCAGCTGCAGAAGGATGCGGCCATAGCGAAGGAGCGGCGCAAAGCTCGCGAGGAACGTGCTCTCGCAGCTGGTGGGGCCGATTCTGGACCTGAGAGGCCTCGGAAGCCGAAGCCCAAGAAGGGCGGCGGGCGCGGTGCGTCCGCCGCGGGGTCATGACGCCATCGCTGCGGAGCGGCCTGGGAGACCAGCGGGCCGTTCAGCGCACGGGCCCGGCGGACTTGCACCGCCGCAGAGGCGACCGCCAGCGCGACATCTTCCCGTTGCCGCTTGCGGGGTCAGTACCCTTTCGATCTGATGCTGGCGGGCGCCGCTCGCAGAGACGTCAGGCTGTTCATGCTCATCATCGGGTTCGGCTAACGAGGCCATTGCATCCCTGAGTTCACTCTACGGTTGTCGCAGCGCAGTTGGCCTTCCCGTCAACGAGTGCCAGCGTACCGCCATTGACCGTATGAACACCGCTCTTCATCGGCTGGGACGACTTCCAGAGAAGTATGGGGGGACGCGTGCTTGCGAGGACGGAGCCCTCGCGGAGCTCCTCCACGGCGTGTCGGTTTACGGCGACCGCGCGCCCAACCCGTCTGTGCCCTACAACCGAGAGCATATCTCGTGGCCTGCTCTAGCTGGACGCCCGGTAGACGTTGTCCCCCTTGTGGGCAGCTTGGAGGTGGAGCGTTTAAGGCACTGGCGGAGCCATATGCTTAGACCTCAAGAGGAGGCCGCTGAGCTGATGTCGACCGCTTGCCCCCGTGGTGCTTACTGCGATCGGAAGCTCTTTGGCGACCCGCACGTTTACGCTGAGTTCTTGGGTGAGCTCCACGCCCGTGGGATGGTTTCGTTTTCGGAGGCGGTGGACGCCAAGGGTTCAGTGGGCTTGTTTTTCGCTCCCAAGAAGAATGGGAGTCAACGCATGATTTTTGATACACGCATCGCAAATTCGTTTTTTCGGCCGCCTCCAAAGACCAGGCTACCCACAGCATCTGCTTGGAGCTCGTTGGAGGTGCCTCCGTCAGGCGCCTACATCGCCACCGCCGGCCTGGAGTGCGCGTTCTACCACATGCGTCTCCCGGCAGGCATGGAGGACTACTTCGCGCTGCCCGCCATCGATGCGACATTCTTGATGGAGGCAGGCCTCGCGGAGTTGCCGTTCGCACCTGGCCAGCTGGTCACCGCCAAGGTGGTGGCGTTGCCGATGGGCTTCTCGTGGGCCCTGCGCCTGTGCCAGGAGGCGTCGGCCACCTGCTTGTTGCGCAGCGGGGTGGGCCCATCCAACGTCATCGTGGACGGCCAGGTCGGCATCCAGCTGGATCGGGACCGACCCGTAGCCGCTGGGGCCTACGTCAACAATGTGATCACCGTCGGCGTCACGCCCGAGGCGGCCAACCGCCTGCTCTACAAGCTGGTCAGTCGTCTCAGGCTCGCGGGGCTGGTAGTTCACGAGATCTGCGAGGCGCCCGCCAACGTCGAGTTTCTCGGGCTACAGCTGCATGAGGGGGCATCGCTGACCATCAAGGCCCGAAACGTCTGGAGGCTGAGGGCGGCGATCAGCAGCCTGCTGCGGAGACGCTGGACGACAGGTTATGCTCTGCGGGCGGTGCTGGGCCACATCACGTGGGCCACCATGATCCGCAGAGAGGCGCCCACCCCCTGCATTCACGCTACGCCTTCGTGGAGACCTTCGGCCTTCGGCGGCCGCCCGCGGCGGCTCTGGGCTTCGGCGATGCGCGAGCTCGAGTTGGTCCGCAACTTGCTGCCCGTGCTCCAGGCAGACATCACCGCTGGATGGCACGGCACTGCCGCGTGCAGCGATGCAGCGCCCTGCGGGCTCGGTGTCATGCGGCGGCGGCTGGCGCCAGGCGACGTGGCCGAGTGCGGCCGCTTCTCAGAGCGATTCAAGGTGGCAGGTGCCGCCTCCGCTCGCGCCGACAGCATCATCATGTTCACACTCAGCTTCATCACCTCCAGCGTCACCATCATCATACTCATCATCAGCAGCAGCAGCATCATCATCGTTCTCGTCATCATCACCCGAATCATCATTACCACCATCAGCAACAGCGTCCTCGTATCTTTGGCAGCATCGTTGCCATCATCAGCATCACTATCCGTGTGATCACCGTCACCGCCGTCTTCATCTTAATCACTTCGCCGCGCACTCCCGCTCTTGCTTCATACCTGGTCGGCCCGCGGTCCCGTCGGTTCTCGCTTCGGGCCCTTCTCAACTTCTCAACCGTGATTGTCGACCCTCCTCGCCCTTCTCGACTCGAGGGGCCTTGAGGCGTCCCCGCGCGAGCCCCCAGACCAGAACCCTTACCCACGTCCTCGCCTCCGTCTTCGCTGCACTTCCGCTGCTCCGTCTCGTCGGTCTCCTGGCGGCCCCGAGGGCGCCCACTCGGAGGAGCCCCCCCTGGGAACCCAGCATCGGGAGGCAGCCCGCTGGAAGCGCCCTCGCGCCTGGGAGGCGCTCGGCAGTGTCACAGCCAGACAACGATTGCTCGGAGTCTCAGTTGTTCTGATCGCTATGGGAGCTCAGGGTCGTGAGGCTGTCCGCTCTCTCGCTTCCGTCCTGCCAATGCCGATCACGCATCGACATGTTCTTTGGCAGCGCAAGACGTTTTGACTCCACTGAGGTTTCTGGGCAGGTTGGCGAGGCAGCTTGTGGAGCATAATAGCTTCGGTGGTAAGCAAATCGTTCAACCGGTGCGGTGACCACACCGCCAGGTGAGTCAGTGGGGGTCCGGGGTGACCGCAAAGTTTTGGAACTTGGATCGTTCTCCGAAGACGTCTCCGGCGACCGGGGCCTCGAAGGTTCCCAAAACCGTGCGGCGACGGACCTTGCGTGCGGTGAGGCCTTTTTTCGAACTCGGAGCTCGCCACACGCTCTGTGACTGGCACCCCCAGACTGAGGCGGCCAGACTTTGGCAACGTGCTGATGGTCGAATGGGCCGATGCACCCGCAGCGCACGCACGCGACCCAGGCAGGGTCCCGGGACGCTCAAGTCGGGCATGCCCCGCTACAGGAGAAATTGCCCAAAACAGCCAAACCATAGTCTGGGAACGATTTTTCTATTTTTCTTTGTCAGTATGTTTGTTAGATTTGTTCTGCGTATTTTCAAGTTTTCGTCCAAAATCCGCCTGTAGGGTTCAGTCGGGCCTGTCCCTCTACAGGAGGATCATTCAAAAATCATCAAAGAATAGCCTGGGGACGGTTTTTGTTGAGCATTGTTTGACCATTTTGGGGGTGGTTGTTGACTATAGGTGTTATTTGTCATCCAAAAATCCCCCTGTGGGAGGACAGGCCCGACGTAACCTTCTTTGTAGGCCGTATGTACGTAGGTAGGTAGGTAGGTAGGTAGGTAGGTAGGTAGGTAGGTAGGTAGGTAGGTAGGTAGGTAGGTAGGTAGGTAGGTAGGTAGGAGGAGGAGGAGGAGGAGGAGGAGGAGGAGGAGGAGGAGGAGATGGAGATGGAGGAGGAGAGGAGGAGGAGCAGGAGGAGGAGGAGGAGGAGGAGGAGGCGGAGGCGGAGGCGGAGGCGGAGGCGGAGGCGGAGGCGGAGGAGGAGGCGGAGGAGGAGGATGCAGGGGGGCCTGCCCGGCCGACTGGAACGCTGCGTGCGCCTGCCGCGCGCGCCTCTGCCCGCGGAGGGCGCCCGTGCGGCCTGCCGCGCGCCTGCCCGCGGAGGGGCGCGGCCTCTGCGGAGGGACGCCCGCCGCACGGAAGGGCGGGGCGCGCACCTGCGGCGGCCGTGCCGTGCGTGCGGCGGGCCCCCCCGGGGCAGAGCCGGCGCGGGGCCGCGCGAGGAAGGAGGAGGAGGCGGAGGGGGAGGAGGAGGAGGAGGAGGAGGAGGAGGAGGAGGAGGAGGAGGAGGAGGAGGAGGAGGAGGAGGAGCTCGGGAGCCTTGAGCAAGGGCTCCCACCAGGGCGCGAAGTCAGTCGGCTTCGCACCTACGGCGGCCCTGCCGTGCGTGCGGCGGGCCCCCCGGGGCAGAGCCGGCGCGGGGCCGCGCGGGGCGTCTCGGGTCTGGGCGCCCGACGTGGGCACGGAAAGGATGGGTACACTGTCGGGGGCGGCGAAGAGGTGGGGTGATGACTAGGGGGGGGGATATCATGGCGGGGGCCATGATATTTCCTCAGATTTCATGGCGCCTCTTCTTGTTTCATTACGTCCCTGGTCCCCCCGCTGGGCCGCGCACATGCCGCCGGTCATGATTTGCACCCCCCCCCTCTTGGACACCCCCCTCTTGGCCGCTCCCGACAATGCCCAACAGCAGTTCCTGTTCATTTTGAGTAGGGTTCGCTGTTCACGCCGCCGCGGCCTGTGATCCTGTGAGGCAGGAGGCCGCCTGCGCAACATGAGGCAGGAGGCCGCCTGCCCAACAGCGACCGCTATCAGTTCAAGACAGCATTTGCTGTTGGGCATTGTGCCCATGCTTTCCGTACCCATTTCGGGCGTCCAGATCGGGAGCCTTGAGCAAGGGCTCCCACGAGGGCGCGAAGTTCGTCGCGCTTCGCGCTCCGCGGGCCTCCTTCCTCCTCCCCGATCCTCCTCGTCCGCCTCTTCTCCCCTCTGGGGGCGGCGCGAGAGCGCGGAGTTGTTCGCGCTCTCGCGCAGCGCGAAGCGCGAAGTTAGGAGCCCTTGTTGAGACGGGGGTCTATGCAAACGGGGGTCAGCCAGAGCGCCCGATCTTGCAGGATCCTGCATGGCCAGGGTCGCACTGACCCGGGTTTGGGTGCAGGATGCTGCAGGAGCCTTCGCCTTGGCCCGGGTCTGGTGCAGGATCCTTTCAGGGTCCTGCAGGATCTCCTGCAAGGCCCGACTGATCCGGGTCTGGATTGACCCGGGTCAGCAGATCCCCGAGCGTCTCGCCCCGTCGCTCCTCCGTTTCCCCCCCACTTCTCCCCCCGTCGCCCTCGTCATCCTCGCCGGTCGTCTCTTACCTCGTCGCGAGGCTGCGTCGCGCTGCGCAGCTGCAAAAACCGGTGCAGTTGGGCGTGTCCTGACGGCCCCGAGCGAGGCCCAGGGCTGGGACTCCTTGCCTTCGGGGGCAACTCCTGGGAGCCTGGCGTGCCCTCGGAGGGCAGGCTTTCGAGAGCACTCGCCTCTGCCGGCGTCTGGCAATTTTCATCGGTGCGACAGCGCCGATGGAGCTTCGGTGGGCGACAGCCTGGCGTCGATTGGCGTCGACTGGCGTCCGCGAGCGTCGATTCGCAGCTGGCAGGATGAAACGGGAGGCCCTCTTGAGTTTCGGGGGTGGACAGAACCCCCAACAGTGACACGTCGATTAGTGAATTGTCCGTTTTCGGTTCTCGAGATGGCGCCGTGGCCGTTATTTTCCAGGCTTGCGCCCGCCAGGTTTGGGCCTCAGGTCGTTTTCACTAAACCACGTTTTACTAAAGGGGGGTCTGTCCATCCCCGAGAGTTGCCACAGGCGTTGCCCTCGTTGTCGTCTTCGCCCACAGCTTCGCCCCGTCCCGGGCCGGCCCTGGCCTCGGCCCGCCCGGCCGCACGCCAAAAGGCGGTCTGCCACATGATCACCAGCCTCCTGGAGATGCAGTCCAGGCGCGGTCGCCCTCCTCGCTCTTCTCCTCCTCCTCCTCCTCCTCCTCCTCCTCCTCCCCCTCCTCCTCTGTAGCCATTTTGGCTCAGGCCGCTCTGCCTGTTTGCCCCAACCTCTTGGCTCCAGTTCGCTGAGCTCAGGGCGGCTTGAAGTCGTTTGTTCTCTCTTTGATCGGCGCCACTTCTGTTTCGCTGGTTGGCTACGTGACCAGCTCTGGTGCTTTTAGGCTGTACTGCTATTATTTCGGACATGCCGGGTCGTGCCTATAACTGTTTGGCTGCTCGAGTTCGCTTGCTTGAGAAAGGCATTTATCTTGAATTGAACTCGGATTTGCAGAATGTTGCCGTGCGACGTCAAGCATTCCACTGTGAGGTGCTACAACGCAATGTTCACTTTCCCACCAGTGCTGTGTCTCTCTCTCTCTCTCTCGCCCTGTGGCGGGAGACCGGGTCTACAGGCGGGATCGTCGGCTCTTTCGGCAGGCTGGCAAGGAACGCCAAGAAGTCTATCGCGAAGCCCCCCCTCCGAGAATTTCGGCGAGACGCTGGTCAAGTCGTGCGGCCGATGCGCTTCGCTCGACCACCCTGGAGGTGGCACCCTGTCTGCGGCAGGAACTGTCGCACTTTCAGCTAAACGCCGATGCCGACGAGTTTGTGCCCGAGGTGGTCACGGTGGCCGACAGTTTCGAAACGGACACTTGCGCGACTGTGCCCTCGTCGCATATGGTTCTGCCCCCTGTGCTTCCGATCCTCGGTGTTCTGCGGGGATATGATGGCATGATCGTGTGGGCGACCGCTCAATTCGACGATATCTGGTCTAAGCTGCACGAGATCCTTTCGGCTTCACACAGACAGGAACAAATGCTGGCAGCGGTGGAGCACAAGAACGGACAGTTGTTTCAACGACATCTCGATTCTTTCTTATTATAACAAAGTATGAGTACATTGGCAGCTTCGATAGATGAGCACCTTGTGAGGAGCGAGTCTGCACTTCGTTCGCTGCTTGAGCGGGGTACGGACGAGCTCATGGCCTCTGCCGCTCAACACAGTCAGGCTCTGGAAGGCGAACTTGAGCGCGGCTTCGAAGGCTTGTCCAATGTATACGACGGACAGTTCGCCAAGGTGGAGGAGCGGCTGCGCACGATCCCTGATGGGGACATTTTCGCTGACCAGATCTCTGCACTTGATACAGCACTTCGTGCTCATCGTGTCGATGCGGAGGCTGCGCTCCTTCTGCACAAAAGTGTCATTGAGTGTACTATCACGGCGGGCGTGGATGCCTGCTGCGCTCGCGTGAACGATGCGATCTCCCACGCCCAGGCCCTTGTGGTCAACCAGCCGCCGTCCACGGTTGAAGCATGAATTGCGCAATCACTGGAGCGGCTCTGGTGTGATTGTCAGCAACTGGTCGACACTCACTGCGAGAATGTCAGCAACTTCATATCCACTGCTCGTGAACATATCTTGATTGAATCGCAGGCGTTGCTTCAGAATATTTCCAAGGATGTTATGGCTCTGCGTGATTCTGCTCTGCTCGTTCAAAAGTATAAGGCTGAGCTCGCGGCTGTGGATGGGATAAGGAATCACATGGTGGAGCTTTCGGCAGGCATGACTGCCCTCTGTCTCGCCGTGACCCCAAACCAGGACTTGGAGCCGCTGCAAACTGCGGTGTTTGACCTGAGGTGTCAGAGCCACGCCCATGCTGAAGCACTGCGTCAGATGGCAGCGATTAACGGTGAGACAGTTTCTCAAATTCCCCAGATGATTTCAGAGACGGTCAGCTCCGCCTTTCGTCAGATGTTAGAGTCTGATGTTCTCGTTTCGGCTGTGCGTTCTGAGCTGGCTCGGGCTTCCGCTGGTGCCGCACGCCCCCAAGTTTCCCTTCCTGGTGCAGCGTACCCAGATGTCACCCCTTCCGAGAGCGACGGTGGCAGCCAGGATGAGGAGTGGATCGACGACGGCGGGAAACGTCCAGGTTACACACTGGTCGAGATGACGGAGCTTCGGCTTCTCGCTGCTCGCCGTCGGCCGCCTTGTCCGCTCCCTGCCCGCGGTGCTCCCGTGTATGCGGGCGATTCTTGGGGCTGTCGCTTTTATGTGCTTGCACTGTTTGGGGTTGGCGGATTCTGGTAGATTCCCCGCGAGAGATCGTCCCCCTTTTACGCTCGTCTCCTCCTTGTCCTCCTCCACCTTCTCCTCCTCCTCCTCTCCCTCCTTCTCTTCTTCCTCCGCTTCTTATCCTTCCCCTCCTCCTTCTCATCTTCCTCCCCATTTTCCTCCTGTGGTAGGATTGCTGTCGGAGCTTGGCTTCTCATGATGCGACGATGCGTTTTTTGTTCACAGCCTGCGACTGTACAAGATGATATGAGCCGCCCAATCATGAAGAAAGAGAGAGAGAGAGAGAGAGAGCGCCTCCTGCGCCCCATGATGAGGTCGCGCCTGGCGCGCCTGCTCCCCCGAAAGGGCCAGGACCGAGATACCCTCGGCTCAAGAGCTGAACCGGTGCTCTCCCCGAGGAGGAGGAGGAGGAGGAGGAGGAGGAGGAGGAGGAGGAGGAGGAGGAGGAGGAGGAGGAGGAGGAGGAGGAGGAGGGGGAGGACGCATCGGCCCCCATTTGCCCATGGATCGCCGAGAGAGGCCGATATAGCCCGCACCTCCCAGCAGCAGCGTGCAGAACGGAGTCCAGCGGCGCAGAGGCTCTGGTCCCCAGGCTTCTCCCCTGCGGCGACGCACGGCGGCGGCATTGGGTAAGGAACGCCTTCCTGGGGCCCAGACCCTGGCGCATTCCTTCTTGCGCCCCGTCGCGTCTGGTCGGCTGGGGAGCACCGCGTATCTCGTTTAAGATACGGCAGAGACGGAGCAAGTATATAATCCAAGTATGCATGCTTCTCCGATGTCTCGATCAAAAAAAAAACTTGATTCAAGGCCAGGTGGCGTGGCCCACGTCTGGCCGCCCATCGGTCGCCAGACCCATTGGGTTCCTTGCCGCAGGTGTCCTCGTCGAAAACCTCCACCGCGGCCGGGTCCTCCCGAGCTTCGCGGGGGTCGTCGTCCCCGCGGGCCGTGCGGGCGGCCGCCCGCCCGCCCGAGGCCTGCTGCTCCGTCTCCGTTGCCGGCGCTGCCGCGCTGCTGCTGCTGGAGGCAACCGCCGATGGCACCAAAAGACGGAGAATACCTCCTCCTCCTCCTCCTCCTCCTCCTCCTCCTCCTCCTCCTCGTCCTGCTCTTCCTCCTCCTCCTCCTCCTCCTCCTCCTCCTCCTCCTCCTCCTCCTCCTCCTCCTCCTCTTGCCAGTCAGGGCGCGGCGCGGGAGGCCGTCGCTTCGAGAGACAGGGGCGAGGAGGAGGAGGCAGAGGCGGAGGAGGACAAGGAACAAGAGGAGGAGGAGGAGGAAGAGGAGGAGGAGGAGGAACAGGAGGAGGGAGGAGGAGGAGGGAGGAGGAGGAGGAGGAGGAGGAGAAGGAGGAGGAGGAGGAGGAAGAGGAGGAGGAAGAGGAGGAGGAGGAGGAGGAGGAGGCGGTCCGTGGCGGCACAGGCGCGGCCCTGGCGGCGCCACGCGCCTGCTGCAGATCGCCCCCGGCGAGGAGGAGGCCGACGACCGCGCCGGCCCCGACGCGGCCGAGGCCGGCAGCCCGCAGTCGCCAGAGGAGGGCGAGGAGGAGGGCGAGGAGGCCGACGAGGAGGACGACGAGGAGGACGACGAAGAGGAGGAAAAGGAGGAGGAGGAGGACGACGAGGAGGACGACGAAGAGGACGACGATAGGGACGACGAAGAGGACGACGAAGAGGAGGAGGAGGAGGAGGACGAGGAGGGGGAGGAGGAGGACTAGGAGGGGGAGGAGAAGGATTTTTGTTTGAGGTCAACCCTCCATCCAGCCAAGGTGACGACCGCGGCGTGGCGAGCGCAACGGCGGGGCACACGCAAACCCTAAATACGGCAAAACGTGTCAAGGTCAGCAGTGACACCAGCCTTTTTAGGATGGAGCTCACGTTCCAGCTTCGTCCACGGATTGCTGTGGCACACTTTCTTGTCTGGCTTGCAAGGCTTGGCCAAGTTAGCCAGCCTGGCGCCTGTCGTCGCGTAGTTACAGCGCTGGCAGACACAAAAAAGAGCCGTCGGAGCAGTCAATGACCACACACCGGTGCTAGCGTTCACGGAGGGCCGCTGGCTGCACCCGCAAAGCCAGAGAGCAGGATCCCCCTGCTGGCAAACGCATCGAGCTCCCTCTCAAGCAAGCAGCGCGCTGCCAAAAATTGCCCACACAGAGCCACCTGTGGGGGGTGGTCGGCGTTTGCGAAGGCGCAGGCGGTGCAGAAATACGCTGGACGTCTGGCCCCATGTCCAGTAGAGGCCAGAGTGGCAACAGCTTGGCAGCAAGGCGCCCTACCGCCCTGGCCACCGCCAGATGCCCGTCCAGCTCATCAGCTTCAGACGGCAGAGGCGCGGGATGCAAAGAAACCGCTTGCTTGGCCGACACGTCGGCCCACTCATTGCCTTGCCTCAGATAGCGGTCCCAGTCGTCAGTGGCCTGATCCACGTCGAGATGGGCTCGAACCTTGATTACGCGAATCTTAGGCCAGTGCTCTCTGACAAACTGAGCGATGCCAGAAAACAAGCGCTTCTCCGAAGCCTGTTCAGGCCAAGGCAATGCAGCAAAATCAACGCAGTTCTGGCAGTCAGAAAAAAAAACATCACACGGACCTGTGGACCATTGGGTCGACACAGACAGAGCGTGGAACTCGGCCGCCTGCGGGGTCTGGGGGCACGGCGCCCAAACCGGCCCCCGAACACGAACAATCTCACGACCTGAACGCCTGCGCACCAAGGTGAAGGCCCAACCAGCGCGGTTGAGTTCGGGAACGAGGACTCGAGAGCACGACCCATCGATAAACATGTCACCTTCGAGAGTTTGGTCGAGGTCCTGGGGGCTGCCCTGCACCCTCTGGCCGCGCCAGGAAGTCGAGCGATAACTTCGTGGGTCACGCGCGCAGGTCATCGTCGAGTAAGTAGAAAGCAGCGCGTCTCTCAGCGACGATTGCGGCCCCGGCTCGCGACCCATCCGGCGGCGCGCGGCGGCGCGTGGCGGGGGGGGGGCGCCCGACGGGGCCAATATTGCGGGCGCTTCCCTTGGGGGGCCGGGGAGCTTGCAGCGCGCGCGGAAATTTAGTTGTCGTTTTTGCTTTCGCGAGCAGATCTGGCGATGCAGCTGCGTCGGACACGTCAGGGCGGCGACCTTTCACGACGGCCGATGAGCCCGGGCGCGCCGACGCGTTCGGCTCCGAGTTCGTCGCGGCCCGCCCCGTCGCGCAGCGTCTCGCGGGAGCGACTGCGCTCCAGGAGCGGTGGCTGGCCGCGCGACTGACAGCGTCCTGGATGCGCGTGTTCTCATGGGCAGTGTATTGCAGGAGCAGTGAGTGAGCACGCGCGCCCCCCCGGCGTTCCCGTGGGCGCTGAGCAGCGATTGCGGCGACGCGCAGTTCCCGTCGCGCTTCGAGAACTGGGGCGATTTGCGCCAAAGCGAGCGGAGGATGCTGGAAAAGGGAATCCAGCGACGGGCGCGGGGGGTTGCAAACGAGGCGACGGCATCGTTGGATCCGAATCTCGACAATCTGGCCAAGTCCGCGAAGACCATCTGGAAGCGCATCGAGTCGATCTCTGTCACTACCAACCAGAAAAAGAAGCCCATTAATGGGGATGTGCGCAAACTGTTGCCGGCGGGGAATATCAAGCCACAGAGGAGGGTTGGTTTGGGGGCCGATTGGAACGCCGCGCCGAGCAAAGCTGGTGGCCGGGCGATGCGGCAGAAGATCGGGCATCGTTGTTGCAGTTTTTTGCCGCGTCTTCGGGGAGGTGATCTTCGCGACTGTCAAGCGAACCGCATGAGTCCGCCGATGATTCTCAATCTTCTCCGATCACGCAATAACGGCACTTCGCTCTGTGGAGATGACGAGGTCTGTCGCTCAAGGAAGACGAATTGCGGCCGGGACTCGCCGAGGGCGTTCCCGCGATCTTCTGCGCTGGGTGAGCCCCCCGAGGGAAGGCGGCGTTCGACGCTCCGTTGCCTGACACTTGCGCGCGGCAAGGCTGGAACGCACATGGACCGTTTTCAAGTGCCCACTGTCTTTCGCGGCTCATGCGCGCAGCGTTGCCGGCAACCTTTCAGGAGGGAAAAAACACACAGACACAATTAATCTTCGATTCCCTAGAAAATATGGGAAAACATGGGAATTGGGGGGGAAGACAAGAACCCGGAACATATGGGAAAATATTGGGATTATTTTGACTTGTGTGTATTCATTTGTGTGCCCCAGGGCCCCTTTCAACCTTTTGAACCCGAATGTGCTTGCGATGCCCGGGCTGCCGCGCCGACCGCGCGGAGGCAGCGCGGTCGAAGTGTCGCGCCAGGATTGGCATTGCGTCGAATGTGACGGCGATGGGGGCGCCGCGCTGGGCTGGCCACGGGCGCGGCGTTCGCGGCGGAATGCCATGGCGCTGCCGCATCTCGCGGCCACTGGTTCGCACCCCTCGCGAACGCGCGCCGATGCCACTCCGCGGAGGGGGCCGAGCGCATCAACAAACATTGCCAGAAGGGCATAAGCCCGAACGACATGTTCTCAAGAGTTCAACACTCGCGTTCGCCAGTTTGCGGGCGCGACGCGCGCGGTGTCCCGCGCGGCGTTAGTTGCGCCAGACTGGGCGCTCGAGACGGGGCCCTGGTGCCGGCCGAATTGCAGCGAGAGCAAAAGCAACGGCGGCTGCTGCAACTAGCAGTTCGCCGTGTTTCTCCTGCCCGCGCTGCTCCTGCTTCCGAAACTGACGGCGCGCAAGGGGCCGCTCGCCCTCGCGGCCTCGATGGCCGTCGGCGCGGGGCGGGCGGGCGGGCGGGGCGGGCGGCGGCGCGGTGGGCGAATCGAGCCCAGCTCGACCTACCCGCGTTCCTGCGGACTTCGCTGCGCCGCGACGGCGAGGCCGGCCATTCCGAGTCCGACGAGCGCGCCGTAGCGGGAGGGATGCCGCTCGGGCCGTGGCCGCGCCCAGCGCGGAGTTGGGGTCGTCTTGCTTCAATTTCTGGCGGAACAGCGCTGACGGCCCCGATCCGCCACGCCTCTCGCTGGGGCCGGTGCCGCCACCGCGACCCCGATTGCGTCGGGGGCGGCGAGGTCTCTCCAAGGTGGCTCGCGAGCTGCAAAGAGGTGGACCCCGGCGCGGAGGCAGGCCTGGGCGCGGGCGGGGGCTGCTCTTATCCCGCTCGCGTCGATCTCTGGATTGTGGAGGCGCCCCGGAGCGGCGCGAGCTGGGCCGTCTCCTGCGAGGGGGCTGGACGGACTTGATCATCGCCGATCGCCCAGGCGAGGCCAGAGGGCATGGGTGAACATCTGGGCGGAACGGGCCCCAGCTCGACCTCTGCTCCTACGGGGCTGCGATGTGCCACGACGGTGGGGCTGGCAATGGCGCGTGCTGCGGGTGCTCCCAGGACCGAGCCGTCGGCGAGATGGCCCTATGCTGGGACGCGGGCGGTCGCGGCCACTGCGGCCATGAGCACAACATGTGCCAGCGGACCTTGTCAACCATCTCGGTCGACACATCGATGTCTCAGCCTGGGCTGACGGAAAGGATCAGACACTACCCCTTTGCTGACTGGTTGTGTACAGAGATGGACTCCGCGCTTAGTTTCCCGAGTCGACGCGCGAATGCTTCTATCCCGACTGCGGCCGCGAGCTCCGCTACATCCATCGTGCATCACCACCACAGCCGAGACGACCGCGAGCGCCGCAAGCTGCATGTCTGACTCGAGGCAGCTAGTGCTGCCGTGCGCCCCTGGCTCACATTCACCCGAGGCAAACGAGAAAGACGGCCATCAGCACTGCAGTCGTCATCGTCGCCATCACCATCATAGTCATTGCTTTCGTCACCCTCCACTATCTTCCAGGGCGAGGATTATCGGAATTGGAATGGAGCGTGAGGAACAGTTTGGGCCAGCGGAGTTCAGCAGCAGGCTGAGCAGGCGAATGCGAAAACGACGGGAAGCAACGGTGCAATGCATGCCACTCGGAGCAGCGCGATGTCGAGGAGAGACCGCGCGAGGCGGACGTCGGGAGCATGTTGACAGCGATTCGCCAAGGGTAAGCAGCAGGGGCCGCCAGTGCTAAAAAGTCAAGTGGTCGGAGCGGGCGCATGGCTCCCTGGGCCTAATCCGGGCCCTGGCTCCCTGGGCTGCGCGTCTCCTCCCTCCGACCTGGGCCACTGATGTTTCTCGTGCGTGCTTCATGGGGCAGCACCCTTCGAACTCTGCAGCCAGCGACGAGAGGGAGGAGGGAGGAGGGAGAGGGGAGGAGGAGGAGGAGGAGGAGGAGGATCAGGCAGATGAGGAAGAGGAGGATGAGGTCGGGGGGGGCCGAGGGAGGTCAGGGCCCGTTCCGAGCGAGCAAATGAAGGGCAGGCTGCCTGAAGAACACAGGATTCTGGGCGCGGGGGATGCCGAGGCGCCGCGGGGTCGAGGAGGACGGTCAGTGTCGGGTCGGTTCGAGAATATATATATATATATATATAGAGAGAGAGAGAGAGAGAGAGAGAGAGAGAGAGAGAGAGAGAGAGAGATAGAGCGGAGGCCCATGCCAAGACACACCTTGCTTGCCTCCAGGGTGCCCTAGTTTTCTTGGGTTTCGATGGTTGTGCAATGGAGAGCATGACGTTGGGTTTCTTGTGGAAGGTTTCTTGTGGTCGGGCCCCCACTGTAGGGCTGGGGGCTCCCAAGGCCAAGGCAGATATTCTCAGCGTGGTGATGCCACTGCGCGGTGGGAGTTGAAGGCCGGTTCCGGGCGGGAAAACGCAGGGTGGGCTGCCCCATGAACGGGAAGTTGTGGGCGAAGGGACGCCGAGTCGCGGGGGGAGGCGAGGTGGGCGGTGTGAGGGTCGCTTTACGGGCGAGAAAATGCAGGGTGGGTCGCGCTTGAAACGGAAGTTCTGGGCGTGGAGTTGCTGGCATGGGGATGCCGAGGCGCGGTGATGGCGAGTTGGGGGGTTAGGGTTTGCCGCCAGCGAGAGAATGCAGGGCGGGGCCCACCAGGCACAATATGTTCTGGGCGTTGCGGTGCCGAGGCGCGGCGACGGTGAGGTGAGGGGTCGGGGTCGGTTCCTGGCGAGGGGATTCTGGGTGGGCTGCCTCGAGTACAGCGGCTCTGGGCGGGGGGATGCCGAAGCGCGGTGGAGCCAGGGTGGAGCGCTGGGTGAACAAAAATACACGGCGAGACAAGGGATGCGCATGGTGATCGGTTGCAGCTGGGGAAGAGGTCCCACATGCCTTTTGGGGGGCCTGCGGATCTATGCTGATGTTCCTTCCATCCCATCTCCTCTCACCGTCTCCTTCTTTAATTTCGTGCGCCCCGCCCCGCCCGTATAGGTGAACAAGAAGCTGTTCTTGCTGATGCTCCCGATGCTTCTGCCGCTGGCCGCGGCCGCCCTGACCCACGTGGTGCCGTTCTGCTTCTGCTACCCGTGGGTCCTGGTCTTGGCAGGCCCGAGAGCACCATGTAGCAACGTATTGGGAGTTTCCTTCGCCGCCCTCTCACTTTCCTCCTCCCCGGGTCCTCGTCCTTTTCCTACCCCTTCTCCTCCTCCTCCTCCTCCTGCTTCTCCTGCCCCTGGCCCACCGTATCGCATCCAGCAGTGATGGCAACGAGGGAGAGGCGTGCATTGACCTGGCCCCACCAGCTCCCGCAAGGAGGGATCGCTGGGCGGTGGGGCTGGGGGTGGCTTCTTCGTTGGCAATACATTGTTGGACAAGGGAGGCTGAAAGAACGAGAGAGAAACAGAGAGATCGACACACACACATGTATATATATACATATATATATGCACATACATACAGAGAGAGGGAGAGAGTGAGACAGATAAATATATGTTTATATGGAAAGCAAGCAGAGAGATACAGGGATGATGATTGAGAGGGAGATCGGGAGATACTGATAATGAGAGAAAAGAACAGCACAATACAAGAAACCATAGTCCCCTTTCCAATTAGTTGGGAACTTGTAGTTTTCTTCATCTGTTTTTTCCCTGGTGGACAAAAGCTCATCTTCTGCAATTTGGTACCAGTCTGGTTGGCGGTGGAAGCCCGCTTCATTGGAGGTTTGGGCCCCGCCCTGAAGTAGTTGGTGGTGGATGCGATGATAGCCTTGGGTGGCACACTTGATGTTTTCCAACCAGATCACTCTTTATTGGGACACCGGCTCCAAAAAGCAAAGTTGATTTTATAGAAATGCCGCAGACACCTCGTGAAGAAGACACCCGACAGCCTCAAGCTGCACGCATGGGGGGCGAGACCCCATACATCTGCAGTGTGCTGAATTCCTTTGGTTGCACTGATCGAAATTATGTACTCCTTGAAGTGGTGCGATGGGAACGCAACCACATGCGGAGGATCTTTCGTATGCGACGCTCTCCGAAAGAGGGGCCATGGAGTTCACCAGGCGATCGCTTGCCAAGCTGGAGCGATGGTATCAGCTCTGTAAGTTCTATTCATGCATGTTGATTTGTTTGAAAGCGCGTTCGCAGACCTATTGATTTTTCAAGGAAGGACATGGCGAAATAGCAGCTGCTGTGAGGCGGGACCGGGATGCAGCTCGGTGACAGTTGACGCGGGCGCACAGCACAGCACGAGCAACCGGAACAGATATGTTCCCGATCTTGTACATGGTTGCAGGAGGGACCAGACAAGCGTGGACGATTGGATGGTGCAAGTTTTGGGATATTGTTGGCGAGATAAACTGGCACACCACTTCTAGCAACACGACAAGGCAGACGGGCGCCGAAGATCTGTGGTGGAAGTGTGCGAGGCGCTGCAGCTTCCAAAGCCGCCGCGGTCTTGTGCACTGACATCCTGGCGGAAAGGCAGGCCCATCACCACTGCATTTGTCAAGTGTGCCACTGCCCCGATCAATTTGGACGAGACGCCCGTGCCTTCACGCATTCTTCTCGACGTCTGCAGGTCGAGTTTTGCGTCGACCCCTCGGCAGTGTGGGGCCTTGCCAATGCCACGGTTGCCTGTCCGAGCGCCGCTTGCGAATAGTTATTAGGTTGCTGCTAGAACGCGCAGAGTTTGCAAGATCTTTCAGCGGCACTCCCACTACAAGGCAGACGGCTTGGAACCAGATCACGGGAGGCCCCGGGAATGGAATCAAGGAGCGGACCTCTTCGTGGAGAACGCGAGTGCCACAACAAGTGCCGTATGTACCTTGGATGCGTTCGTTGTAAGAGTTTGCACGTAAGGCCGTGGCTCTGCAGTTCGATCCGGATGGTGACCAGGTTCGTGAGAAAGGCGGCGCTTTCGGCATCCAGCTGGTTTGCCACATTGGAAGCGAAGACAAGCCAGAGAGAGTCACGGTCGGATGCATGTACGAATTTGACCGTGGTGCGAAATCAGTTTTCGATATGGAATTGCGCAGTTTGGGTGAGACAGTGGATGGATTATTGAAATCGTGAACGATTGTTGAAACAGCGTTTTCACACAGCAACCATAGTAAGTGCGCTCACAGAAAGAAGAGAGAGAGAGAGAGGAGAGAGAGAGAGAGAGAGGATAGAGAGAGAGAGAGAGAGGACAGAGAGAGAGAGAGAGAGCGACAGAGGGATTGAGAGAGGGAGAGGGAGGGAGAGAGAGGGAGAGCGAGAGAGAGAGGAAGAGATAGAGAGAGGGGGAGCGATAGAGAGAGAGAGGGAAAAAGAGAAGGAAAGGAAGAGAGAGAGAGAGAGAGAGAGACAGAGAGACAGACAGGCAGGCAGGCAGACACACAGACAGACAGACAGACACACAGACAGGCAGGCAGGCAGGCAAGCAGACAGACAGACAGACAGAGACACACAGACAGACAGACACAGGCAGACAGACAGACAGACAGACAGACAGACAGACAGACACACAGACAGACAGACAGACGGACAGACGGACAGACAGACAGACAGACAGACACACAGACAGACATACAGACACACAGACAGACAGACACACAGACATACAGACACACAGACAGACAGACAGACAGACAGACAGACACACAGACAGACAGACACAGACACACAGACAGGCAGACAGACACACAGACAGACAGACACAGACAGACACACAGACAGACAGACACACTGGCATACAGGCAGACAGACAGACATGCAGACAGCGAGACAGAGAAAGACGGAGATCGGGCGGGGATGGCTCGCCTAGCCACCCTCCCTGGAGCGCTGGATGACACGGGGGCGGGAAGGATGAGGATCAGGATGGGGGGAGGAGCAGCAGCCAGAAGGGGAGGATGGAGATGAGTAGGAGGAGGACGAGTTGGAGAAGGAGTTGGATGAGGCGGAGGCGGAGCGAGTGGGGAGAGAGGGGGAGAAGGAGGGGGGAGAGGAGGGAGGAGGAGGAGGAGGAGGAGTAGGAGGAGGAGGGGGAGGCCAGACGCTGCGATCACAGTCGATCCGAGTTTGCCGAACGTCGAAAGGAGGGGGGGGAGGAGGAGACGGAGGCGGAGGTGGGATCGGAGGCTCGGCCGGTGAGGTGGTCGATCGATCGCCCGTGCACGCCCGACCTCTGCGGAAGGAGGAGGAGGAGGAGGAGGCGGGGAACATGACGAAGTCGAACACGACGAGGAGGTCGAGAAGGAGGACGAGGTCGAGAGGGAGGAGAATGAGGAGGAGGAGGAGGAGGTCGAGAAGGAGGAGGATGATAGCGAGGTCGAGAGGGGGGAGGATATGTATGGAAGGACGAGGCCGAGAAGGAGGAGCATTGGTATGGAAGGGGGAGGCCGAGCAGGAGAAGGAGGAGCATAGGTGTGGAAGGAGGGGAGGGGAATGCCGCCCCTCGTCCTCCCTCCGCTCCCCCGCCCGTTCCCCGATCTCGGACCTCTACAGGTAGACAAGCCGTATTATGAATACTGCTCTGAGGTCGGGCATGTCCCCCTACAGGAGGAACATTCAGCACCAATCAAAAATATAGTGTGGGGCCATGGACCTCTCACGGGTTTCTCGTATTTGTTTGGCCATTGTTGGGCATGGTTTGATGAGTTTCGTGCTTTTCATCTAAAGTCTGCTTTTGTAGAGGACCTGCCCGACCTAGTACTACTCGCCCTCCTACCCTGAAGTTGTCTGGGAGATCGTCCGCCCCCTCCGCGTGATGGGTTTGACACTGGACTTCACCTGCTGCTTCTCTTATGGATGTTTGCAGCCCCACGGTTTTTGGCGATCCAGAGCGGTGTTCCCGCCTTCCGATTGGCGCGCTGCCCCCGTCGTTCAGAACGGCGCTCTCGCCCCAGCGCGGGAGTTTTTTTTTTTCTGGATCCGAATCTTGCTTCAGTGTGGTCCCCCAGCACTGCCCCTCCCCCGTCTTCCACTGCTCATCCTGCTCCTCACGCTCCTTCCACCCCCAGTTCCTGCTACTGCTGCTGCTCGTCTCGCCCCAGCGTGGGCCACATGTTTGAATCCGAGTCGTTATGCATCGTTGCCGCCCCCCTCATTTCCCCTCTGCCTTCCCCTGGTCCTCCTTTGCCCTCCCCATCCGTCCGCTCTAGGTCCTGCTGCTGCTGCTGCTCGTCCTCGTCCGCTTCCTTCTGCTCATCCTCCTGCTCACACGCCGCCTCCTCCTCCTGTGCACGCAGCTCCCCCTTTTCGAATTGCGCGTAACACGAAGTTGTCTTTCTGTGTGGGTCGCGGGTCGGCTATGACACGCGTCCGCGGATAGAGTGGAATTTCCGCCATGGGACAGGATGGGAGGGAAGGGGTAGGATGTCAGATTAGGCGCGAGCGCAACTAGCTTGTCCATTCCCCTTCTCCTATCGTCCGTCCTCCCCCCATTTCCCTCCCAGAACCTGACAGCTGCCCAAGCCTCTTCCACCTCCTCTCCACCCTCCCCCGCTCTCCACCCCCTTCTCCCCCCTTCACCTTTCAGACGCCTCTCATTTCTCCCACCTGTCCTTCTCCCCCCTATCGTCCATCATCCATCGTGCCTTGCAGGCGTGATCGCGGCGGCCCTGATCATGCTTACAAGATTCGGCGCCGCCCAGCTGAAGATCAGCAGGCGGCTCGAGATGGACGCTCTCATGCTGGTTCCCTGGGGCGGCGAATACCAGACCAGTTTCCAGTAGACTCTATCAGAAGCTCAGTATGGCCCCGGACCGGCATGTGCGTATATATTCTGGTCTTATATATATATATATAAAAGTATCATACCTACTTCTCCAAGGAAGTTGCGCTCAGAGGCGATTCATGAACGGATTTGTCTGGCCGTTTCGCTCGGGACATCCTCAACATCGGTGGCACCCCTCACCCAGGTCGTGACGTCAGGGTCCAACAGCACAGCCCTTTACAAATATGCAACGTGCTATTCTCAAAAAAACGCATAATGCAATTCTTGACGCTTCGCGTATCCCCACCAGCGTTAGTCGCGGCCGCAGCCCGACCGCGACCGCCCGCCGCCGGCGCTTCCGCCTGCGGCTGTAAAAAAAATAGAATTAAAAAAAGTATCCCCACCAGCCCATCCTACACCAGGCACTCGGACGAAGAGCGCCGATGATCGGCAGCTGTTCTCCTCCCCCTCTTCCTCCTTCTCCTCCGCCTTCTCCTCCTCCTCCCTTCCTCCTCCTCCTCCTCCTCCTCCTCCTCCTCCTCCTCCTCCTCCGCCTCTTCCTCTTCCCTGGTGGCGTCTTGGAGGTATCTTCGAACGTTTTGGTGGGCTCTTGGGCCTCGCGGGCGGGCGGGCGGCGCTCCGCCCGCCCGCGCGCAGGGCGCAAGAGGAGAGTCCGAGACGTCTCTTGAGGCCCTCTTGGAGGACATCGATCGCAGAAGGGGGAAGCATTTTTTAGCGTCGCCCCCCTGGGGGGCACGATCCTCGTGAGGGGTGTCGAATTTTAGCCCTCCCAGGGGTCGTTCTTGGACGCTCTAACTACCCGCGGCCCCCCCTGTCCAGGTCAGTGGGGAGGGGGTAGGGGGAGGGGTAAACCCCTCCCCGAAGGGGAAGAAGGCGGGGTGGAAGAGGAAACGCTCTAAACCACCGACGCCCAGAGGGCTGGTGGGATTAATTGGTTTTGAGCCCGAATCCTCGAGCATTGCAGTTTCGCCTGACACATCCTTCAAACATCGAGCCATCCCCTTTCAACATGATTATTCTCAAAAGGCAGTTTCGCTTCAGAGATCCTCAAAGCATCGAGCCCCGATGTACAACACGCACCCACAGAGAAAACACACAGCACACACGCACCACATACTACACACCACACAGTTGACACACAACACCTACAACGCACATAACACACATATAGCATACACACACGCACAAACAAACAAGCAACCCATATATACATACATATATAATGTATATATAGATGTATGGACGCCTATAGCACACACAACGCACACAACACACGCAACACGCGCAGCACACAATGCACACACACAGCACACCTAACACATAACACGCATAGCACACATAATCCACACACAACTCACACGGCGCCGATAGCTGAAGCCCATAGTTCAAGTGGTGCCTTGGCTCAAGGAACTTCGAGTAGTTGGTATGATGGGCATGAGGGCCCGCGGCCACCGCGGCCGCCGCGGAGGAGGCCGCGGAGCGGTCTTTCGACCCCACCCACCAAAGCGGTCGGCGTCACTGCGCCCATGTGCTACTTCGACCCGTTCGGTTTCTGCCAGGTCGGCGATTGCGAGGGCTTCAGCAAGCTCAGCAGCTCCGAGCTGAAGCATTGGCGCGTGGCCATGATGGCCGCCTTCTGGGCCGCGTTCCAGCACTCCGTGAAGCTCACTGGTTTCGAGGGTACTCCTGCTGGCCTCGGGGCGCTCACCGACCCTCTTGACGTGCTCGGGTACGCTTGCCTCGTCCTCCCCATCTCCGCGCTCGTAGGGACCGTGTATTGGATGGGCGACGACCTGTCCAAGGAGCCAGGCAACTTCGGGGACACGTGCGACTGGCCGGGGCTTCCTCGGCACCTTCTGCGGCGGCTACAGCGACGGGAGCCGAAACAAGCGATGTTCTCGGCCTTGGGCATCCTGGTGGCAGAGATCGCCGCTGGCAAGGACGGTCTCCAGCAGTTCGGCCTCGGAGCACGGCGCCTGAGGCTGCAGCGGCAGGAGGTGTCTGAGCGTGGCGCCACGCGGCAGAGAGGCCTCCACCAGAATTGTGCTGGTTTCGCAAGCGAATGCAGGATCCGTGTGCGGTGTTCTTCCATACGCCGAGGGCCGAGGCATGCGGCCGAGCGCTGGCGGCGGAGCGGTCGGCCCAGCTCGCAACGGTGCCATCCCAGACGCGGAAGCGCGGAGCCGGTTGCAGACAGACGCCAGCGGGCGCCCGGGGCGCATTCTCGCCTCATCGAGGGGCCTGCGCCCTTGTTCTTTCGCGCCCCAGAGCTCTCGGGGGCACCACCGTAGCCATCACTGCTCGCAAGATGTGGGAGAGGTCTTCGTCGTGCAGCCTGGCGATTTCGCACGTTGGAAAGTTACAATCAAGTTCCATTATTCTGTTGGCACATCAGCAACTCGTTGTTTGAAGGGCTCCCACCATTGAAGTACAGCGGTTTCTCTGGTTTTTAATGCGAATCCAAGGTGCTCTCGGATTCACGCTGGCGTGGCCAAAGAGGCTTGGTGTTGGCAGTCGCGGGCGCCTGTGTCCTTCAGCTACCCGAAAAGGGGCCCGAACACAGTGGGCAGTTGCGGCTTACCTCGGCAAGCTCCTGGTCGCTGTAGGCACGAGTTCCCGCCTGTTTGTTTCCTCTGTTCCTTTTCGTTGCTCTCCTCCTCCTTCTCATTCTCCTTCTCTCCTCCTCCTCCTCTTCCTTTTCGTTGCCCTCCTTCTCCTTCTCCTCCTCCTCCTCCTCCTCTTCTTTTTCGTTGCTCTCCTTCTCCTTTTCGTTGCTCTCCTCCTCCTTCTCCTTCTCTTCCTTTTGACCGTTTGTAGTGCCTCCTGCTCTGCAGCACCTTTTTCCACGCGGGGTGTGGAAGCAGGATGAGTGGCTGGAGGCGGCGCTGCTACGATCGGAGGCGATTGGGATTGTTCTGTGGGGCGGTCTGCGGTCCAGCACGGGCCGACGACGCTCTTGAACCGTACAGTCGGGGCGCTGAAGAAGGAACCCTTTTCGTTGGGGAGGGGCTCTGTGTTCCTTGAGTGCTCTGCAGTTTGCCTTAACTTTTGCTGAGGCTTTCCATGGGAAATCGCTGTCTAACCTACTGGGAAAAGGGGCCTCGTTCCTTGTTTAGGGTTCCTTAGGTCAACGCCCCGACTGTAGTTTCAGTCAACCAGTACCTGTTTCAATGCAACAGATCTCCGAGCATCGGAGCCTTCTTTGGGGCCAACCCGCGCGCGTCAGACCTGTCGTCGGCATGCCGGCAAGGACTTACACATTGCGGTGCGTTTGCGTGGTGATCAGTTTTCGGCCAGCCGCCCGGGGCTTGACATTTGGATATGCGGACGCTGTTTCATATAATCTTCTTCTTTGTTGCTCATTTCCTTCTTCGTTTTCTTGTTTCCCTCCTATCCAGGCAGTTCCTGCATTGTGGAACCCCCATCCCATCAGTAGGGAAGCTGGCAGTTTTCTTTATCCGAGCTGCACTTCGATGCCTTTTCCCTAGCTCTCCAAAAGAACACACACACAGTCACACACACCACACATAGCCACACACACACAGTCACACCCACACACACACACAACACACGCACAACACGCATAACATACAACACGCGCACACAACACACAGCACACATTGCACACATGCACATTACACACCACACTCAGATATTGCACATGTGTTTGTATGAGCGTGGGCACGCACGTCCCAGATACATATACGTATACATAAGTATATACATATATGCACATAACGATGTGTATATCTCTGTTTACGGGGTTTGGGCCCCGACGGTTCATGGTGGGACTGGAGACCCGGCCCCCCCAAGACGCTGCGCGAAAGCTTCCAGACGGCCCGAAACGCCCTCAAGACTTTTCAAGCGGGTTCCAAAAGGCACCCCATGAAGGCCCCACGATACATACTTCATGGGCTTCCATTTGTTATTGACAGTTGATAGTTTTTTTTGTTTTCTCGGCTGCTTGGTGCTCCAAGACTATTTCAGAGGCCCCGGAAATCGCCCCGAGACGGCCTATGAGGCCCCCAATTGGGCGCCCAGGCGGCCCAAGAGGCCCCCAAGTGGGCGCCCAGACGGCCCAAGAGGTCCCAAGACGGCACAAGAGACCTCCAAGATGGCCCGAGAACGCTGCAGGAACCGCCCAAGATCGGTCCCAGAGGGGGGGGCACGAACCGACAAAATTCGACCTCTCCTCGCACAGGGACTCCCAGGAGTCCCAAGCAGGCCCCCAAGAGGCCTCCCAGGAGGCCCCCAGAAACTTCTAAGAGTCCACAATAGACCCAGAGGGGCCCCCATAGACTCAGACCGCCTCCCAAGGTACCCGAAAGGCCCCCGAAGAGATCCCGACAGGCGTCCCGAAGCTCCAACCCTGGCACCAGGCGGGATGGGCCGAACGGCACTCCTCTCACGTGTCCGTGGGTGCACTCCCAAATCCTGGGCCGTTTTCCCGAAGCCAGGGGGCGTCCAAGACGCCCCCCCCCCAGCCCAGGCTCGCGAAGAGAGGAAGGGCTCTCCGCCGCCTTGCTGGTCTGTTGTATAATGTGCTGCCTGGCAGGTTGAGGCTGGAAGCCCAGGAGCCAGGACGCGGGCTTCAAATTGTCTCACCAGTCTTGCCAGCATCGCGTGTTTCGGGCCCTCGATTTTTCGTTGTCCCTGTTTGCTCGGGTCGGTCCCTCGCTCGGCTCTGTTCGGGTCCTGGTCCGTCCCTCGCTTCTTTCGGCCCTTCTTCGGGCCCCTCGCTCGTCGTTTCGGCGCCACGGGCAGTAGTGTTCGGCTGACGATCACCCGCGCGCAAATAAAAATAACATAACAAAAAGAGACGATCCCAGAGGCGCCAGACGGGCAAACGCGCATGTCGTGGCTGCCGCCGCCGCGGCAAGGGCCCGGGCCAGAGGCAGGCAGAGCGGAGGCGCGCCCCTGTGGGATGCTGCCTTCCTGCGCGGGGTGCCCGCGCAGATCTCATGGCGCCAACAGCGCAGATCGGATTTCGCTCGGCTGGGCCCGGAGTGTCCTGGGGAAGTTCGTTCCGGATTGCGAGGTCCATCTTCGTGCGGATTCCTTTGTGGCCAGGAGCGAAGACAGCACAACCCACGTGACGTTCACTCCGTTTGTCGCCCGCGGTGTTGGGGTCTTCCATATGGCAGAAGCCCACGCAGAAGAAATCCGCTGCAGCACGTCTGCAGGGTCGCTGCGGTGACAGCTCCGGGCCGCCCGCCGCGGCGGCCCCGGCCGAGCGCGCGAGGCAGAGAGGAGCAGGCGCGAAGACGGGGCGGCGCCGTCGGCAACAGCCGCCACAGCGACATGTTCGCCGGCGGCGCAGGCCGCGTGGCCTTGCCAGCCTCCTCGGGGGGGGGGGGGCTCAGCCCTGCTCCTCGTGCCCCAGCTTTATATATATATATATATATATATATATATATATATATATATATATATAATCTGGTGCTTGGGTCGGGCGGTCCGGACATCCTGCCTCTTCCCCGACGTCAGCGAGGTCTCGCTTCCGCCGCTGCACTCTCTCTCTCTCTCTTTCTCTCTCTCTCTCTCTCTCTCTCCCTCCCCATTCTCGTCCCCCTGGTGGTCTCCAGCCCACACGCTGCTGCAACTGTTCCTCCCTCCTGCACCCCGCCTCCTGCAGGAGGGAAAGGGGGGGAGGCGGAGGTGGAGGATATCTCGGGGGAATCCCCCCCTCCTCCTCGACCGCCCCCCCCGAGATAACGCAGCTCGTCGCGTGCCTGTTCGTGCACAGCAGCGTGCCTGTGATGATCCGGGTCTTCGGCGGCGAATGGCGCCACGGGGGCTACTCGAGTGGGCCTCGGCCCGGGGAGGAGGGGTAGGAGAAGGAGGATGAGGAGAAGAAACCGGTTCTCCTCCTGCTGCACCTCCTCCTCCTCCTCCTTCTCCTCCTCCTCCTCCTCCTCCTCCTCCTCCTCCTCCTCTCCTCTTTCTCTTCCTTCCGCCTTGTCCTAGATCCCTCGTTCCGCGTCCGATTGTCCGTTCTTCCGCCTCATCATTATCATCATTACCCTGGTTATGTGGACATCCCCTGTTTGCCGCTCTCCAGTTCCATGCTACATTACAGGACATCGCCCTATGTAAGTTTATTTAATCGCTTCGCTCATTCCGCCGGCCCGTATTGGTGCACGGCTGTCGAGTGCCCGTGTGATCGTTGTCAATGGGGTGCTGCTGGGTCGTTTTTTTGTTTATGGATGGCTGGCTTTGGGTGATTTCGCAGGCGGGATCCATTCTTTGCCCGCCTGAACCTTCTGGTTCGGCTCGTGAATACGATCGCAGGGAACAAGACAACATTCTGCAGTTTCCTTTTTGCATTCTTCGGGCCCCTTGTCGCCTGTTGGGGCCTCTTAGGAGCCTCTTGGGGCGTCCAGGAGGCCTCTTGGAGCGGAAGGCTCGGATTATCGGTTCGTGGTCTCCATGTTGGGCCCCTCTTGGGGCCCTTTTGGGGTCCTTTTGGACCGTCTTGGGCGCCTCTTGGGCTGTCGTGGGGCTCTCTTGGACGGTCGTGGGCCTCTCTTGGAGGCCTCTTGGGCTGTCTTGGGGTGGTCTTGGAAGCTTCTTGGGCCGTCTTGGAGCGTCGGAAAGGCGAAAAGGCGAGGAAGCCATAATCCTAGAAAAACCCAATGGAAATCAATGGTTTTGGCGCTCTGAGGCTTCGTGGACGTTCATTGGGATCTCGTTGGATGCCTCTCGAGGGCTTCTTGGAGACTCGGGAGTCGTTGTCGAGCCTCTTGGGGTCTCTTTCGGGCCCCTTGTCGCCTTTTTGGGGCCTCTTGGGGGCCTCTTGGAGCCTCCAGGAGGCCTCTTGGAGCGGAAGGCTCGGATTCTCGGTTCGCGGTCTCCATGTTGGGCCCCTCTTGGGGCACTCTTGGGGTCCTTTTGGACCGTCTTGGGCGCCTCTTGGGCTGTCGTGGGGCCCTCTTGGGCGGTCTTGGGGCTCTCTTGGAGGCCTCTTGGGCCGTCTTGGGGTGGTCTTGGAGGCTTCTTGGGCCGTCTTGGAGCGTCGGAAAGGCGAAAAGGCGAGGAAGCCATAATCCTAGAAACACCCAATGGAAATCAATGATTTTGGCCTCTTGGGGCTCTCTTGGAAAGGGTCGGGGCTCTCTTGGGATGTCTTGGAAGCTTCTTGGGCCGTCTTGAGACTGTGTTGGGCGTCTTGGGCCGATCGTTCAGTGATTCGGAACCCTCTTGGACCGTCTTGGAAGCCTGTTGGGGCCCTCTTGGCGCGCTCCGGGGAGCGTGGCAGGCCGCACCCAGGAGGAAAGCCATCTCTGACCCGAGTTTGCCGGGAGTGTCCCGGGACCTTGCCGGGGTACTTTCCGGCCGGGGATCCCCATGGCTCCGCTCGCGCGAAGTATAGAGTTATTGTTGACCAGTTACCAGAGATCTTAGCACGCCTCTGGCCCGTTGGGCCAGCGAATTTGGACGCTGTCCCGAGCCTGCTTGACAAGTAGGCATATTTGGCGGCCGATTGAGGGGGAGAAAGACATGTATGCCAGCGTGGGCCCAAAACAGTGAGTTACTGCACTCCAGATGCGTTAAACACGAGGCGCAACGCAATTGGTGCCATAGGTTGCCCCACAGGATGTGCCGCAGGTTGCGCCATAGATTACGTCCAAGAGCGTTCGAATGTTTCGCCAACACCGCCTTGCCAAATACCCCACATGCGAAGTGCTTCAAGAAAAACGTCCGAGCGATGGCCAGCTGGGCACCAGCCGAAACAAAGGCACACCCACTTAGCGCACGAGGCGGCAACGAGGCGACAACCAGGCGGCACCAACTGCGTACCGGCCGAAGCCCCGACGCACCCACCCAGCGCCGAGGCGGCAACCGGGCGGCAGGGCCGGGGCCTGGGCCGGGGCACAAAGCCAGGGCCGGGGGGCCAGGGCCAGGGCCAGGGCGAGGGCCGTTCTGGGCTGTCGGCGGTGATGATGCTGCTGCTGATGATGAAGATCGGTGGATATGATGATGATGATGATGATGATGATGATGATGATGCTGATGATGATGATGATGATGATAATGATGGTGATGCTGATGATGATGATGATGGTGGTGGTGATGGTGATGAAGGTGATGGTGATGGTGATGGTGACGTTGATGGTGATGGTGATGGTGATGGGTGATGGTGATGGTGATGGTGGTGATGCTGATTATGCTGATGATGATAGTGGTGGTGATGATGGTGATGATTATGCTGATGATGCTGATGACGATGATGATGGTGCTTATGATGATGGTGATGATGATGATGATGGTGATGATCATGCCGGTGGTGGTGGTGATGATGGGGACGATGATGGTGACGCCTCAACGCTGAGTGAAGGTTGCATTTGATGCCCCACCCGCCCGCTCGAGTGAACGCTCCATCACTGAGTGAATAGTCTATTTAATGTCCCGCCCGCCCCAACGGCGTCCCTGGTGGTTGTGATATATCATCCCCAAATCTTGTCCCATCACAGAATGAAGGTTACATCTGATGTCCCGCCCGCCCGCCCGACTGAACGCTCCACCACTGAGTGAATCGCATTCCTATTCATATAATTTTATAGGGCCGGGGACCCCGGAAAGAGCGCACCCCCCCTGACATCCCCCCCCCCTTCCAAACGAATTCTTTACGCTTCGCGTATCCCCACCAGCCCATCTCACAGCAGCAACTCTTGCGAAGCATGCCGACAGTCGTGTTTTTCAGGCGTGTGTCCGCTTGGCCCCGCATATCTCCCCTGTTCCTCCTTCCTCCCGCCTCCTTGTACATCCTCCTTGTGGGGGGAGCGGGAGAAGGACGAGGCGGAGGAGGAGGGAGAGAAAGCGCTCCTCGTGGTTTGAGTCGTTTGGGGTTTCTCGTCCTGGTGTGAGTCGTTCGGGCCCTTCTTCCTGGTGTGAGTCGTTCGGGCTCTTCGTGGTGTGAGTCGTTCGGGCTCTTCGTCCTGGTGTGAGTCGTTCGGGCTTCTCGTGGTGTGAGTTGTTCGGGCCCCTCGTCCTGGTGTGAGTCGTTCGGGCCCCTCCTCCTGGTGTGACTCGTTCGGCTCCTCGTGGTGTGAGTCGTTCGGGGCCCGCGTCGTGGTGTGAGTCGTTCGGGCTCCTCGTGGTGTGAGTCGTTCGGGCGCCTCGTCCTGGTGTGAGTCGTTCGGGCCCCTTGTGGTGTGAGTCGTTCGGGCTCTTCGTGGTGTGAGTCGTTCGGGCCCCTCGTCCTGGTGTGAGTCGTTCGGGCTCCTCGTGGGGCCTCTTGGGGGCCTCTTGGAGCCTCTTGGGGCCTCTTGGGGGCCTCTTGGGGGCCTCTTGGGGGCGTCTTGGGGGCCTCTTGGGGTCCTCTTGGGGCCTCTTGGGGGCCTCTTGGGGGCCTCTTGGGGGCCTCTTGGGGCCTCTTGGGGGCCTCTTGGGGGCCTTTTGGAGGCCTCTCGGGAGCCTCCTGGGGGCCTCTTGGGGCCATCTTGGGGCCTCTTGCGACTCCCTCAGAAGCGCAAATGAGCGCTGCCCCTTGAGAAGGACAAAATGAACCCAAAACCTTTGTAAAATCAATGATTTTGCTATGAAGGACGATGAGCGCTGCCCCCTCAGAAACCCAAAATGGGCCCAAAACCGTAGTAAAATCAATGATTCTGGCTTCAAAGAAGAGCGGAGGCGCCAAAGTGGTTCCCCCCGTCGGGGCCAGAATCCTCGTGAGGGTCGTCGTTTTTTGGCCCTTCCAGGAGTCAAAAAAGACCCCCCTGACCACGCTCGGCCCGCCCTCTCCAGGTCCAGGGGGAGGGGGTAGGGGGAGGGGTAAACCCCTCCCCGAAGGGGAAGAAGGGGGGTTGAGGACAGAGCGGGCTCTCTAAACCACTCACGCCCAAAGGGCTGGTGGGATTTCGAATCCACAGGCCGGTCTTGCGTCTTGGGTTTTCTCTGATTTGGGTTTTCGCTGATTTTCGACTCTCCGGGCCCTCTTGGGCCAGCCTCAGGCCTCTTTCGGGTTTGTCTGGGGACGCATGTGGAGCCGTCCTGGAGCTAATCCTAAGCGAAAAGTCGAGAAGGCCAAAAACATTGATTTCCCAACGGGTTTTCATTGAATTTCAAATCTTAGGGGCCTTCTTCGGCCAGCCTTGGGCCTCTGTGGGCCTCGGCTTACGCCTCTCAGCCTCTCTGAGGCCATCCTGGGGTCATCTTGTCGCCTCTCGAGCCAAGCGGCAAGGAAAACCGAGAAGGCCGAGCACATTGCTTTTCCAATGGGTGTTCTCTGATTTCCGACTCTCCGGGTCCTGTTGAGCTAGCCTTGGGCCTTTTTGGGGCTCGTCTGGGAACTCATTTGGAGCCGTCCTGGTGCTATCTTGACGCCTCAAGAGCCGATCGTAAACGAAAAGGCGAGAAGGCCAAAAACATGGATTTTCTAATTGGTTTTCTTTGGGCCTTCTTGGGCCAGCCTTGGGCCTCTTTGGTTCTCGAAGCCGGCAGCCCAGCAGCGCGCACGCCGAAAATAACATGTTCTGTAGGAGGTGGAGGAAGAGGAGGAGGAGGAGGAGGAGGAGGAGGAGGAGGAGGAGGAGGAGGAGGAGGAGGAGGAGGAGGAGGAGGAGGAGGAGGGAGGAGGAGGAGGAGGAGGAGGAGGAGGAGGAGGAGGGGAGGAGGTAGAGGAGAAGGAGGAGAAGGAGGAAGAGAAGGAGAAGGAGGAGGAATTAGGGGAAGAGGGGGAGAGAGGAGAAAGAGGATGAGGATGAGGATGAGGAGGAGAAATAGGAGGAGGAGAAGGAGGAGGATAAAGAGGAGGAGGATGCCCTGCTTCATGCTAGCCCAACCACTCGCCTGAGACATATT